GTGTAAGGTAAGGCTTGACTCCGCGGACTGTATTGCCCAGAGATCGCAATGCATTTGCAACAATTATAGCTTTGGAAACCATTTCCTTGACGTGATATTTAAAGCTGAGCTTCTTGTCGAAAAGGATCCCCAGCCAGCGTAAGTAGGGGCGTACTCTATTTTCTGAGATTGTGACAGGCCCCGCTGTCACTGAGGGTGTACAGCTAGGGTTTTGGTCAGTTATACGTCGCGAGAAGTGTATCAGCTCATATTTATCAGGGGCAAAAGTGATTCCTTGTGCAGAGCCCCAATCTAGGGCTTCCTGTAGGGAATCTGATAGGTTCTGAGCATTTGTTTCCAGGGAAAGAGATGTTGCTAGGAAGGCTCCATCATCAGCGTATCCGAATCTGGCCTTAAGTCTGCCCATCCAGAACAGGGGCGCCAGGTAAAGCATAAATAGGATAGGAGATATTGGCGAGCCTTGTGGTAGGCCGCAGGTTATCTTGATCTTAGGCCCTAGTTCACCGTCTAGTCGGATTTGGACTGTGCGCCCTGTGACAAAGGAGGCTACCCAGCGGACTAGATGTCACAGCGGTCGAACTACCCGTGCAAAATAAATGGGGGGGTGAGTATGGCAGAACTCACGTGACTGCTCACTGAGTGCTCACTGAGCGGTGAACCGTGATGTGAATTACTCACTGAGCAAGCCCCTGAGCGCCCTCAGTAAAGCGGCGATGTCTACAACAGGAAATTTACGATAATGTAGAAAAACAGGTACGTATAGTGACATACATACATCCATCCATCCATGAGCCAAAATATTCAGACCAAAGAAAAAAAAAAAAGGAATATTGCAACGAAAGATATCAAAATCTCCGTTTCTTCTTCGCCGGCGCCTTCGCCTTCGCCTCTAGTTGTCGTTTCAGTTCCTCTCGTTTTCGATTCGCTTTTTCTTCTTCCGTTTCTGGTTCCCCGGGGGGTTGTTCGCTTGCGCGTGGTTCCGGCTCCGATAGACCAGGACGGTGATTCGGTTCGTCGGGCGATGGCGATTTGACTGCCGAGCGGGTTGGTTTGGGGTTGAGTGGGGGTTCATCGAGCTCGTCGTTGGTTTCGGTTTCCGCGTCGGCGTCGGGGACAGGTGCTGAGCTTGGGCGATGGGAAGAAGGAGCAGTCGAGGTGGTGTTGGTGTTGGTGTCGGGGTTAAAGGATTTGCTGCTGCCGCCGATGACGCCGAGCTTTTTGGGCCCGGCAGGGGGAGGCTTTCGTTTTGGATTTGGGGGAGAGGGGGATGAGTCGGTGGCGGGGTTGGTTTGTGGCGAGGTTGGTGATTTGGGAGCGTGAGGTGGATTTGGAGGAGATGATGATGGTGGTTCTTTCTTCTTGCTTTTGCCGCCGATGGTCCCTAGGCCTCGTGGTTTAGGCGGGGGGCTGTGTTGGGGTTGAAGGTTCTTGTCGTCGTGGTCTTCTGGAGCTGGGGATCCGGAAGGAGTAGATTTGGGAGAATCTGGTTTCTGTTCTGGCTTTTTCTGTCCGCCAATACGTCCGAGACCAAGACCGCGTGGTTTGACTGGGGAAGTGGGTTGGGTTCGAGGGTTTGGTTTTCTAGGTGCTGCATCTAGATCTGAGTCCGAGCCTGAGTCTGTTTCATCGTTATTAACGGGCGACATATGGGCCGGTTTGGAGGTAGTCGTCGGTTCATGGTCTGGTGAAGGTGAAGGCGAAAACCGTGCTGCCTGCGTCGACGCTACCTTTGATCCTCCGATCTTTCCGATCTTCCCGATCTTCCCAAGACCTATTGATGCTTTGGTTGGAGGCTTGCGTGGAGAAGGGCTCGGAGATGCTTTTGCAGGCTCTTGTGCTGGTTCCTGAGATTTTTTGGCCGGAAAAGGTTCGTTCCCGGTGTCTTTGGGGCGTTTGAATTTTGGAGGCGTCACTTGTCGCTAGGAAAAGGAAAAAAAGAAAAACAGTTTAATCAGGGTACTAAGAGGGAAAGTATGTGACAAGAAGGACTTACTTCAAATTCATCGTCCTCTGTATCCGTAGCGGTTGCAGCATCCGTCATTTCGTCATCCCGAGAAGGTTGGGATTCGTTGATTCGACCGACATCTTCGCGCCTAGGGAGTGTAGTGGTGCTGGCTGAAGACAGTGCATGCCACCATCTGTCTGGAGGCGGACGAAACGAATCGGGCTGTGCCACAGCGTCAGAGGTAGACAAAAGCTGCGCAAGTAGGTTGGCAGCAAGGTCTGAGCCCGGAGATGACTGCTCGTGTTCTTCGAGCCACGCATGCTCGTCAAAAGATGCGACGCCTCTGATATGTTTGGCGGCCTGCGATAGCGTCGCGTTCTTCCGACCCGTTCGCAACCCAGACACCCCCGGGAAGATAGTGCTGAGGTCGATACCCACGGCTTCAAGCTTGTCGAACAGTTTACTCAGGATCCAGTCTTTCTGCTTCAGCTGGTTCATGAGATTCTGCTGTCGCGACTCCCAGTCCGCCTCCGCTTTGATCAACGGTAGGAGCATATGCTGCGTCAACGAGGACTGGGGCTCTCTCGAGAGATAGAGAGTCCATGTCAGTGGCCCTAATGGCTTTGGCAATTTCGTCGAAGTGGTTAGTCTCAGGGTATCAGCTCCTGGCGATGTATGGTCCAGGATCACGTGGGTATCCTTTTCGTTGCGAAATGCATCGCCGATCTTCTGCAGTAGCATCTGATATTGCTCTGAATCGTCGCTGGGGTCGATCGTAGCGGCATTTTCGTCGGCTCGTTTCAGAATTTGTTGGCGCGATAGATGCTCAGACCAGACGTTGGTTAGGTCGGTCATGTACAGCTCGTAGCCGTCTGACGTCAAGCAATATTTGAAGAGAACTAGAGGCAAATCGCCCTGGTTGGTAGGACACAACCGCTGCCATTTCGTGGACATCTCTAAGAGCAGATCATAGAGATGGATAAGAGTGGATTGCGATGCTAAACCGCAGAGCACAAGGTGGTTGTATTCAGTGTAGTTTGTAAGGCAACGGCCGATGCTCAGGCGGAAGTGAGAGCATGGGCGCTGGATTGGGAAGGTTTGCCGACTCCCGCTAAGCCTTCCGGAACAGGAGTGCGGCCGTTACCAGCTCCAGAAAACATCTCCAACTTCATCATCTCACATGCCAACCCTCGTTCTTTATCAGCCTTTCCCTACAAAGCGATTTCATTCACTCACACTCATATTGCAGAAACGGCGACGGTTTATACATCATGGCGTCGCGACTACCTGATCGGTCAGGTGCGAAACGAAGCCGATCTCGATCGCCGTCGCGTCAACCCCAGAAGCTCCCCCGCAGATACGAAGAGAACGACCGATATGGCTCTGACAGGCGTGGGCCATCGCAATCTCAACCGCGGAATATGAGGGATCAGGTGCGGCTCAATCAGCTGCAGGAGGATGAGCAAGAGCGGCAGTGGGTGGCGCAGGAAGACCTCTTCGTCTTGAAACAAGCGAAAAAGAAAGCAGAGATCCGAGTCAAAGAGGGACGCGCGAAGCCGATCGATTGGCTTACGGTGACCTTGCGAGTGATCGATCCTACGAGGGACCCTCTCGACGATGAAATTGCGGACTCGGACCTTGATCTGGTGGACCCCGATGGTGTTTTCGAGGGGCTATCGCCGACGCAGTTGAGCGACCTAGAGAAGGACATCGATACATTCCTAGGCCTTGAATCAAACTCGCAGAATAGGGATTTCTGGAAGGTACGTACTTCACGGGCGTTGGATTTGTTGAAATGCGTGAAACTGACAACCGATCTTTCCTTCGGTTAGACCATGAAAATCATTTGTCGCGACCGCCAGAAGACTTCCGCGCCTGAAGGGCGTGCGCTCAGCTCCGTTGCCGCCGATATAAATCGACTTTTGAGTCCGAAGACATACGAGCAGCTCCAGGCCCTAGAAGTCAGCGTCAAGAGGAAACTGGACTCTAACGAACCTATCGATACCGATTACTGGGAGGAACTTCTGCGCAGCCTTTCGGTCTGGAAGGCTCGCGCGAAGCTGAAGAAAGTCTACCAAGCTGTCATAGATGAACGTGTTCGAAGTCTTCGCGATCAGCAACGCGAGGAGGCAGAATCGGTGCGAGCGAAACTCGCGCCACTGGCCCCGGTAGTTCAAACGGCTCCCGGGGAGAAGCCGCGATCGGATGAGCGAGAGCTCCAAGGCCTTGACCCCGATCCATTGCTTCAGTTCCGCCCGGAAGATAAGATCCTGGAGATAGTGGATGAGACAGCCTTTTTGGACCAAGTGGTAAGTCGTGCCGACTGCGGCGAGGGTTTCGCCATTCTATCTTCTTACCATCACCCGCCATACTAATCAGTTATACAGGCCCGCGATCGTCAAAAAATTCTCAAGATGGGCTTCGTTCCTCTCCGCCAGCGACAAGCCGAAAAGTCTTCGGCTGCCCCCGTGAATCAAACGTCGAATGTGCCAGTCGCTACCGCACCGACTCGCTTCTCCGCCATCCCCAACGAGGACTTTTCGCAGGCCACGAAGGCTCTGTATGAAAGAGAGCTTGCCAAAGGGGTTAGCGAAAACGAAGAGATCTTCACCGGCGAGGAAGCCGTGAGTACCAGCTCACGGCCTCAATGGGCCGGCAAATACCGACCGCGAAAGCCTCGGTATTTCAACCGGGTCCAGATGGGGTACGAATGGAATAAATACAACCAAACGCACTACGACCACGACAACCCGCCCCCCAAAGTGGTTCAGGGCTACAAATTCAACATCTTCTACCCCGACTTGATTGACAAGGCCAAGGCCCCGACATATCGCATAGAACGCGAAAACGGGCGAAAACGCGGCCAGTCTTTCGCCGCAGCAGGGGAAGAAGATACTTGTCTCATTCGATTCATGGCTGGTCCACCGTACGAAGACATTGCCTTCCGAATTGTCGACAAAGAATGGGACTATAGCGCTAAGAGAGAACGGGGGTTCAAGAGTACTTTCGACAAGGTATGTTTTGTATAAACGGGCTAATGCTGCCCTGACGAGCATTCGCTGACGAATTTGACTTATTTGCTAGGGAATTTTGCAACTTCATTTCCAGTTCAAACGCGTGAGTTGTCCATTCAAGATCTCTTTTCTGAGTCCTGACCCGGTTAACTTAACCTCGTTCAGATCTATTATCGGAAGTAACGACCGCCACCGGGACCCTATATTCGAATGCCAGGAGGGTCTCTTATTATATTTACTATTATCATTCCATTAAGTTTCATTCCCGGGCCATTCATTGATATTGTATGATTGTATCGACGAGGATCATTCCCCTGAACGGGGCCAGAGTCAGAGTCAGAGTCGGGTGTGGCTTTGATATCCAGAGCTCTGGGACAGCACGGTCGAAGTAGAACCAGCTCTCATTGGGCTGGGAAATAACAACCACTTACTACAATATCGGATCCCCAAGAGATCACCCAAAGCTAAGACGTATCATCTGCCGGTCGTCCAAGTACATAATGCGCCTGTCATCGCTCCCCACGTGTGAAGCCGCTATCTGAATCTTATTTTCACTTCTATCGAGAGTCTTACTCTTTCTTTTGGGCCTCATTCCTGCGTCCAAGCGACGGCGGATTGCTTTCGCCATCACCGCTCTTTCGAACGGTCACGTGTCCCCGGGGTCTCCAGGGCCCTTTTTGATGGCTTTTCATTTCAGGTCTTTTCTTTTCTTTTTCCTTCCGGTGCCACACGATGAGCACTTTGCCTTCACGGAATTAGGGGTACAGGAGGGACTGACGGAGCAGCCCTGGTGCCACCGCGTCGTCTGCATCTCGTTTCACGGTTCCGGCTGGACGGGGAAGCGGGAAGCGCTTGAGGATCTGCAGGATGAATTCGAAGACCATTGAGGGCTTTCCAGGAAGCCGCCAGAAATTCGCCATCCCAGAAACGCTGGCGCTTTGTCTTCTTGGGCTGTGGTCGGTGCCAATGGCCGACCAGTCCTGCAGGCGTCCGGACCGGTCCTAACCCTCTCCGTCTCTCAAGCGTTGTAGCCACTAATTCTCGTCATTTGCAGCTGTTCCCCCCCCCTCTCTCGCTGTTGTACCAGATCCAGCCTCCGGTTTAGGCTCAGGGAAATTATTTGCCACTCCTGTATAGCGACTCGTTCCACATTCCCGCAGTAGAGCGCAGCACTCTCAGCGCTATCCACAACATCCCCAGAGCACATGACGGATGAATTCTTTTTCTTGGGTCTAGGTTATTTGATATTTTATGTTTTATATTTTATATTTTATATTTTGGTTTTTTAATTCCTATTTTCTCTGCTTTCTTTTCTTTTTCGCCTCTCTCTCTTTCTCGCTCGCTGGCGCTATTTTTATTTTTCATTTTTACAAGTTGAGACGTCCTAGACCGTTCATTTGTTTGTTGGGAACGTGAGATGCATAGCTGTTTGTAGCCAGAAAGAACGGCCGTATGAGCTGGCATACTCCTACAGCTTCAAATTGATCTACTGAATGGCTTTATTCTGAGCGATCACAAAGCTCGATTCCCCTGGCAGGCCATCTAATTGCCATTTTATTTTCTTGCCTGCAGTGTCTGAAATTCCTGTAAATTCTGCAGCTCTTTTTTCTTCCTTTTTATTTTTTCTTTTCTTTTTTTCGGCTTTCGTTTACTTATTATAATTTCTTGGTGTTTAAGCCCCTCAAACTCTTCATTTCCCAAGCCCAACTTGATTTCTCTTTCCTACCTTACAACTATCAAAAACCCTTTAATTCCCTGGGCATGGGCGAACCTTGTACAAACCCATTTAAGTTATTCTGATAATCCCCCTCCCTTCCCCCTCCTCGTGCTTAGCCCTCTTCTGTTGGATAGTCCCTACAGTTCCTGTCTTGTCTCCTGTCAGAACGAAAAGCAAACAGCAAATAAATCGAACGGATAAGAGGAAGAAGTACCATTCACGATGAACCACTTCCCACCCTCTTCAAACTTCCAGCTGGGTCCGGTTCCTTCTGGCCGAGCGACTCCGCTTCAATTTATTTCGAGACGAACAGAGTCACCCAGCTCGTCGTCCGTCAGCGATGGCGCGCCGGTGGAAACTTCTCGTCAGAGCAACCCCTGCCCTGTCATCGAGAACTGGACGAGCTCTAGCTCTCGCAATCCAGGGACGATGATGTCCAGTCAGCACCCATGCGCCGTTGAAACCAACCCAAGCTACTCCATGGGTCCATCTCACCCCCCGGTGGCGACGGTGGCGGACGGCGTCCCCCGTATGTTTCCCTACGACCAAGGCTGGTCGAACACCTTCATGGGGTCCAGTTCCACCACGGCTCCATTGCAACCCGGCCTGCGTCGTTCCCACGACTACACTGGCCCTTCAGAATGGGGACGTGAGACAGGCGGCGGTACTTTCAATCCGGACCCCTCCTCGTACGCTTCTTCTCGCGCCCACGTCTCGCCTGAGAATCAGCCCGAGGCTTCTGGAACAAACTATTCTCCAACGAGCTTATCACCAACCTCGCCCCCCCTCTCAATCTCCTCTTATCAGGCCGGGCACGACGGCAGCAAGCCTCATCCTTCTGGCACCAAGCTGGGCATCGACCGCGATGACCTGCACGCCACCAGCTCAGAGGATAGCACCGAGGAGGATGTCAACACGGACCCTCCTTATTCCCTCCTAATATATCAGGCTCTCCGGAATGCACCGGACATGAAATTGCCTCTTCAGGGCATCTATGACTGGTTTGTGAAAAATACAGCCAAGGGAAAGGACCGGAACTCCAAAGGCTGGCAAAACAGCATTCGTCATAACCTATCTATGAACGCGGTATGTGTACCTCTCGAACCTTTCCTCATTTGCTCCTTATCCATTGTCGATCTCCGCGGGAACGAGAAGTTCGGGGAACGGAGAGGGGGGTGGAAGAAACAAGAGAAAAAGAAAGCACGGATTTGCTACCTACATTTCCTCTCGTATTGTGTTTGAGACTTACATCGTTTGTGTTACAGGGCTTTGAGGCGGTTCGAGAGGAATCGATCCCTGGCAAAAAATCCGTAAATTACTGGCGCCTGACGGACGAGGCCGTCAAGAACGGCATCCAATCTACAACCCGGTATAGGAAGCAGGCGAATTACAAGAAATTCCTGGGTTCGGACCCACCGGCACCTCAACGCCAACGATCTGGCGCCAAAGGGGGCAAGGCGACGAAAATCACCGCCAAGTTCCGAGGCCATGTGAGCCCGGACCACCACTTGCGACGGGAGCGAGGACTGCAGAAGAGACTGTACGGGCAGTACTACCACCATCACCAGTCCCCCACGACGACCGTGTCACCATTCCATGTGTTAGGGACGGGCGCGCCGCTGACTCGTCCGTCAGTCGAGACATTTGATTTGGGGAGCGTCATCGGGTGCGCTGACCCCCCTCCTTCCACGCCGATTTTCTGTGACATGGCGGGGCCTGCACCAGATTGTCCGGCCGTGGATAACTCCTTCATGGGCTGGTGCGTGATCCAACCATTTCCCCAGGGACTGTTGACGGGGCCCGAAATATCATCGGATCTCCAACTTGGGGTATAACGACCTACTACCTATGGGGTATGGGTCAGGTGGGAGGGATTAACCGGAGGGGCAAAAAAAAAAAAAAAAAAAGAAGAGACCTTGCTGACTGACCTGCATAGTATCAAATGTACTCTAGCGAATCTAATGGCCCGTCGTTGCTGGGGTTTCCTATTCGATGCATTTTTCTTCGGGGTCACATTTTCGGTGTTATTTCTTTCTCTGTGCTTTTCTTTGTTTTTTCTTGAATGTGTCTTTTCCCATTTCCTTTCCCCCGGGGGGGTGACTTTCTCATAATCATGTTTCTTACTATCTGTCTTACGGGTCTCTCATCTTTCCTTATCTTGTCATTATTTCCTTTGTCTTAATTAACTAAAAGGTGTTGGTTTTTTCTAAATTAATTTTTCCTACACCAGTGTGGCGTTATGGAATTGGTCCACTGTCGTGCAGTTCATTCCTATCTGGCACTTCTATCATAATCGTCGTGAGCTGCAACATGTGGCCTGTTCTCCTGCAGGGTATGATGCGCCGATGATGCCGATGACGAGAAAGGCAACCAAAAATAAATGAGGGCGAGGGAGCTGGTTCGACGACGAGAAGCCGGACCATCGGAGGGCGAGAGGGACAAATTTCTAGTCAATATTATTCATTGGAGCAATCCCCGGCCCATAGTAATCTACGCATTAAGTCTCTATTGAGTTGCTGTCAAGATCTCAGGCTAATCGGGGCTAACGGGATCCTGTGATTGGCGTGCAGCCCCGTCGAGACGCTAGAAAACAGTCATCCAGAATTAATAAAGTCGACCTGCCTTAGTTACTCTGTAGTAATTCAACATGCAGGGATTCCCGTTCTTTCGAGCACGCAGACCTTGAGCCATTATTGGCTCGTGGTCTTGGGGTTAGGCGAAGGGAACACCCTACCCACTCACTGGACTGTTAAGCATGCCGTCTTTTGGCCTCGCTTGTTCTGTTCTGTCCGGCCCCGGCGGCTTTAGTTGGAATTGGTTTTTTTTTACATTGATGCCAAGGATTCGATCTGTTCTAGTCCGTTGTCCTAGTTCATCTATCTAGCACACCTAACTGCTTCCAGACCGCGGCCCCGAAATTTTCGACTTGTTGACAGATGCATCTAGCTTGCGACCTACCTTAGTTCTGAGCGATCACTCGCACCCGATTCGATGGGAAAACGTGCCGCCCTTCAGCTGTCCTATACGCAGTACTACTACTGCCTCGCTATTTCCCTCCTACGTACATACTGTATGTACTCCGTACTCCCATAGCCTATCTAACTGAGATGTTCAAAAAAGGCACGAAAAAAGAAAAAGAGCACGAAAAACAACGGTTACCAATAGGACGTCACTCTCTTTCCTTCTCTCTCTAGCCGACCTTGGATGGCATCTGTCGTGATGGTTCGTATTACCCACCAACGTCTCGAATCTGGCCAGTGCTAATTTTTGCACCCTCCATGACAAATGAATCGGAATGGGCAGAGAACCGGGGTTGGTCTCTCATTATGTGATCTCCCATTGTGTATCCAGAGTACCATACTATTGTGTACAACGACGATCCCATTCTATTCTCCTAGCTTAATTTGGGGTTGGAGAGGGGAAACTCCACAGAACTACTCCGTAGAAGAGAAGACCAAGCCCCCGGTCATCATCTCTCCTCATTATTGTGAGGGTTCGTCTACCGGCAGATTTCCATCCTTAGCGAGCAATTACGCAAGTGAGGGAAATAATAGAAAAAATAAAAGAAAAGAAAATAGTACTGGTCTCCACGTCTCTTCAACTTCTCTGGGTTACCAATCTCCAGAATCCATACGCAAACTCTTCGTAGAATTCCCGAAGATACGGTGAGCTCCGGATCGGACCACTCCATCGTACACGAGCTCGAACTCCTCCGATGAAAGAAGAAGCGCTGATTTCAAAGGTCCCAATTTTTTTTTTTCTTTTCTTTTTCCTTTCCTTGTCTCTCCCGTTCCCACTCTGATGCAGGACGACGACTCGAATTTTCTTTTTAAGAGTGTTCAGCAGTAAACCCACCCGTCAAGTAAATTGACAACCTGCAACTGATGACGCTACCAGAAATGCCAAGCGGGTCGGCGTCACGATGGGAGGCCTACAAGGAGGGCTGAGGTGCCAATGGGTGCGCTACTGTGTACTGCATGGACTACTGACACTACCTTAGACTAGTAGAGCGGTTCCCCGGAGCTGATAGGATATGCGCCGACGAATTGCCTCCAACCAGCTCACGTTGCGCGATAGACTAGTTCTGCAGGAAGAGAAAGACAGCGTCATGCTCTCTTTCTCGTCCTCTGTCTCTCGTCCTCCCCCCCCTCCTCCGTTTTTCCTCTCCGCCTCTCGATAGTTAGCTCCTCTTGGCCTCCCCCCGGTAGATGCAACCTCCTCTGAGTGGGTCGACCGTCCGAACCATCTTGGCATGGTTTACGGGGACTTCGATCCAATACCAACCTAGTCCCGTGAGAACTGTGTAAGGCTGGGTAGGTCAGTGATCATCAAAATCCCCCTCCTGCGTAGATAGTAGTTATGTCGCGACAGTATCCCGCCTTTTGGGGGTGGAAGGCCCAGGGTATGGATTTGTAGAGGCTCACTGGTCAATAGCACGCACGAATGAAATCTGGCGCCACCCAACGCATTTCCTACGGCCTACGGCGCATCAGTGTTTCATACTGCTTCTTCTTCAGGGTTTTTTTTTTTTTTCTGCCTCTTCGCCGCCCTTACTTCCCTGTCTAATTTCTCAGCAGGTTGGGAATCCCTGTCATGTAGAAACAGACCGTTCTTCATCTTCTGTGTGGGTCAACTATTGTTTTCTCGCCTCTTCAGTCCTTGTTTTTTTTCTTGTTTTCTATCTGTTCCCCTGTCCGAGCGATTCGTTGATTGGTCGAATCCCAAAAAATCTCTACGCCTTTCTCCTCGGATCGACGGTTGGAAATGGCGCAGGTGATCGTCCCCATGTCAACAGTAGTGTGACGGGGAGGGAGAGCGAAAAGTACGACTCTGTGACGTCCAGGCTTCAAACGGGCCGTGCCGTGTGTTTAATTTGATGCGGACGCACTTGCGTTGACCTCGCTAAGCTTCCGGGTTGATACTTGCCAAAGCTAATTCCTTTCTGTCTGTTCCGGTGGCCACTGTGTCCATTCGTGGGTGACTATACTCCGGACGGGGCCAGCGATGGCAAGCGAGAAAGAGGGAAAAAGAGAGAGAACATAGTACTCCGTACTAGGTGTGGTTGGAACTGCACCTGCACCTGGAAAGCTCCCCGAGAAGACCTCCTGTGTCATTCTAGCATTAGCTACATCGTTAGCTAGGAGGTTAGCGCCTACAGAGTAGCGTTTACTAGCAGATCACCACATGACGGGCTCCGCCCTCCCTGGGGGCAGAACAGCTCAACATCAATCTATCTAACACTCGGATTTGCCAATCTGCTAATTGCTCTACCCTCCTCTTCGATTCTCATGTCGTAAATATAAATCCATGACTCGTACGTACTTTTATCCAGTCACTACTGTGTAGACTGTAGACCATTTCCCATTTTCGCCTCCCTCCATCCAACCCAGCATATGACTAATCCATGGTTCGCTGCCTTCCTGGCTGCCTTTTTTTCGCCTCTGTTTTCTTTTTCTCCTCTTGCCGCTATACCTCAAATATCACGAATGTGTCACCTTCCAATGCAGGTCGATGTGGATAGCGCATTGTGGACAGATCCGACCTCAGACCAAGACCTTTCCTGCAACACCAACACCCCCATTGTCTCCGGCTAGTCTAGGGTCGGACCTTATTTGACAAAATGACCAGCAGGACCTTTTTCCCCCATTTCCCTTCTTGATCCTCTTTCTGTTGGCTGAGCAAATTAAACCCAAAATAAAACGCTATGAAATCATAGTCTCCTGCGATTGGGTATTCTCACGGTAGCGCTTGAGGCTGGTATCACGTCGGCTTTTCGTTCCCGGGGAGCTTGCTGGACGAGATTGAAATCTTTGTCCTTCCCTCTTTTAGTGGGTTTTTTTTTCTTTTCTGTTCTTTTTTCGCTCGTTCTCTTTATTTTTCTCTTTTGGGGTTGTTGAAACGTCATTGACCTTACCTTTACTCTAGGTACTTATTCATTTCCTGCGGAGTTAGAGTAGTTACCTACTGTAGGTACAGCCTACAGGAAGTACCCCAGGGGAAATAACAACCGCAACCATAGGTAGTCACCCCATAAAAGGTGTTAATTAAATCAAATTAACAACGCAGAGGACATATACGACAGGGACTGGAAACGAGGGACGAGACGTCAGGTCCTGTCAGTCCTTTCTTCACCGCTTCGCAGGAGCATGGATGGTGGCAGGAACCGGCAGGTCATGGTCTGGTCATGGACCTGGTACATGTGGTTCCGACCGTGGGTTACAGAGCGATATCTGCATCTTGTTATCTCATCGCGCTTAGTGACAGGTGGGTTGGTCTGGTCTGGTCGGTCAAGTCTGGGCTGTGTCAGAAGACGGAGATTATCAGGTGGTTCGTGTTTCCTTGCTACTACCTACCTACTACATACTTACTTGATTTGTTCTCGGTGAGTGATGCCTTTTTTCATTGTCTGTATGAATCATCTATAGACTAATCTACAGAGTAAGATTCAGGGGCAAATTAACAGAGATAGCCGCCACAAGAAGGCCAAAAAAAAAAAAAAAGTGAAAAAAAGAGGCCCAGCCGACAGGATCCACCACCCGAATCCATCCCGACATGAGGATCAAACCAAAAATTCAAATAAAAATAAACACGATCTACTGTACAGCAGACTCGCAGTCCCTTTTGCAACCGAAAAGAACAATGAAGGGCATTCCAGCCCATCCTGTCCAACGTCAGCTGCAGGCCATTCCTGATGCACTGACATTTCGGCCGGGATGTCATCCTTCGCGCTCCTGTCGGCACCAACCTGTCAACTTCCATTCCATTCTTTTGGGGTGTCAAAAGTACGGTGTCGTACTTCCTACATACATGCCCAGGGAATTTCGAATTTCTCTTCCCCCCCCCTTCCCCTCTCTTCCCCCTCTGGTTAGGGGCAGGGAGGGAGGTACGGATGCAGAGCACAGATCTCTGGATATCTGCATTTTCCCTTTCAACGGCTACACTTTACCTCCTCTGTCTACCCTGTTTACCCCCTCTTAGGTCGTGCTGCTAGCTAGAGAGACGAACACGACGCCGCACAATGCACTGCCTTGTTCTTGTTCCGTGGTCCATGGACAGAGCCTGCATACGCTATGGATGTATGCACTAACTAAGTTTGTGCGTACCTAGATATGCACCAGCCACCTGCTCCGTAACCAACAACTATAATACCAACAAGAATAGGACATAACATGACAGGATAGGATAGACGAGATCTCTACGTAAGCACGGGATAAAGAAAAAAGAAAAAAACTCGACATCTCGATGCCGACAGAGCGACACAGCATTATTGCCTCTACCGGAGGGTTAACAGAACCAATGACAGGGAGACACTAGACGGCCAGGTAGGTATGTAGGTAGGCGAGGTAGGGTATCACAGAGTTGTTCCCATGTCGTACATGATGCCATCTCGTCTCCTCTTGTCTGCCCTTGTCAGGAATCTGAAAGAGGGGTGGGAAGAGGAGAGGGGGGCGAGGGGGAGCTACTATGTACGTACGTACGCAAGTCAGTCAGGAAGTTATTTGTCCGAGCCAATCTCGCTCGCTCCTGATCTCGATTGCGATTGCACCGCGCTGGGATTGTTGAGCGTCAACCAGGTACGCGGGGTGGTTGATGTGGTCTGGTCTGGTTTGGTTTCTTCTTTATCCACATCTCCTTCCACGGCCGCGGGCGTGGGAAAAGAAACGTCTGTAGTCGGTCGAAAAGAGAAGGCGAAGCATGGAGTACGGTGCCCACAGGGTCTTGGTTACTACCTACCAGGACCCTGACTCCTTTGCCTCCGTCCAGTGGATCCATTCTACTGTACGTATCTACTAAATTAGTACTTCGTTCATCCAGGATTTAATCGGTCTTATTCTCAATCCCCAGTTCTGACCTGCTTCTGTAGGTACAGTACTTACTTCGCCCAGCTAATTTAGTCCTATCTAAACTGAGACGGTGAAAGCCACTCAAAGCCAGAGTGAGATCGAGACCAGACCAACCCCATGTTTTCTTTTTCATCTCTCTTGTGCCTTTCGTCCCTTTTTTTTCATTTCTTTTCATTTATTTTCTTTTTCGTGCTTGCCGCGCTCCCTCCCCCTTTTAGTCTTGGTCTGGTTGTCTTGGTCCAGCGCGTCCTCCGAACATACAGACAGTATGAGACAGGCGTGGCTTTCGCTCACCCTCTTATTGTTTCTCTGCATATCTCAGCTGTACTGAAAAATAAATCAAATCAAATCAGTCGTCTTCTTTAGTCCGCAGTAACTTACTACACTTGCGCTTTATATTAGGCCAATTTGGTTTTAGTTGTGCTGCTCGTGTTTCACTTTCCCTTCCTTTCTTCCATGTATCTACAGTATCTTTCCCAACAAAATAGGTACCGGAAAGAAGAAGCGAGGGGAAAAGTAAAAGCGGTTGGAAGAGCAGCAGAAGTTCCAGATCGGATGAGAACTAGGACTGTTTCTTCTGTGTTTCTTTCCAGATCATGCGTTTGGCTGGCCCCTGGCCGGAATGGGTTCTTTTTCCCTCTCTGGGGTTAGACTAAGGCTTACGGAACAGCATTTACGGAGTATGTATATTCGAAGCCACTAGTACCAACCTCCTAATGGGCCGTGCTATATGTCTAATGTCTATGCCGTGCTAAGCCGTCCCGCGTTGTGCTGTGTTCTGCCGTGTCCTGCTGTGCTGGCCAGCATATAGACATGGGCTGACCCTATACGTAGGTAGTTAATTAGGTGACGAGGTAGGTAGGAAGGAAGGACCGGGAAGTAGACGAAGCCGTGTATGCAGTGCAGTATATATTACTTCTTTAAGGACATGGGGGTGTTGGTCTACGCGCTGGCTACGTAGTGTATGTGTGTATGCGTGCTTGAGGATGCTGTAGTTATATATATTACTCTACATGCGTATGTCGTATGCACTTCTCCTTGGGTAGATGGAATACTTAACCTGCCGGGTGATAGTATTAGGGGTACAGTATAGCCAATGGATTAGGTTTACATTATAGTGTTATAGTGCATGGTAGTTTGTTAATGTTGATGTTACTATCGAGATCCTAGGGACGGACGGGCAGACCGACAGGAAGATAGAGAGACGTGGACCGGTTAGACGAGAAAGATAGAGAGATAGATGACCTGGTTCCTTGGTCTTGAGTTATTGTGCCTTTGGGCGCTTCTACAAGGGCTAGAACTTTGGTCGTGAGACTGGTGGTGCATTGCAGGTTGCAGGTCTGGAAGCATGGGGGATTGGGAAAGTGTTTTGACGTGGTGGTCAATGGTATGGTAGATAGTAGACAGGGCTGGTCGTGTCAAGGGCATGTATGCAATGCTGTCTGTGCATGGTTGTTGATGACGATGCGGGTTCGACCTCGACATTTGATGCAATTCAGCCGTGTGAATCGAATCGACCCGAGTCTAGACGGGACGGACGGGCACGATACATGATGAAAGGACAGTTTCACGCCTAATATAGCATCCTATCGTCATCGTCAGGACTTCATCTAAAGCCGGTTTATCGCCGTACCCCTCCATTCTCCTCTGGCTGCCCCGCGTCTGGCATGGGGAAGGCAGAAACGGAGAAGACAGAATATGGCCTCATCTACTACCCCAACAAATTAACTGAACCACCTCAAAAAGATCATGAAGAGTAAGAAAATTCATTGAGCCACGACCGGGAAATAGTAAAATTGCCGTGCTAAGCCGCTGTCTTCGTTCACCTTACTTTCTAAAGAAAAAGAGAACCATGAACCGGGCATTGAAAAAATTTCTTTTAATTTCCCATTTTCGCTTCCCACTTTAAAGAACAAACACCGATCATCCGTAACAAGGTATTCTCCTTTCTTTTCTCAAATCACAAAACGCACTTAGCGCTTGCCAGCCTTCTCCTGAGACTCCTTGAGAACCTTCTTGACGATCTTCTGTTCCTCAATCAGGAAAGCACGGACGATGCGGTCCTTGACGCAGCCAGCGCAGCGGGAACCACCGTAGGCACGGCTGACGTTCTTCTTGGGGCGGGAAATCTGAGAGTACTCCCGGGGACGAAGGGCGGGGATCTATAGAGCAGGGAAGAGAAAGGTCGTCAGTCTCTGGGTCAAGAGGTTCGAGGATGAAAAAATTTCGAGATGAGGTCGGTGTTCGTGGTGTGGTGTCGTCCTTGATTGTGTCCCATTCCATTCATTTGCGGGCTTTCGTTTCTCTTCCAGTCGACTCCCTCCAGAGGATCGGTTGGGTCGGACCCGTTCCACACACACACACACACACACACACACACACACACACACACACACACACACACACACACACACACACACTCGCACCAAGACCTCACTCGATGGGGGAAAAACCAAAATCAACCGGGAGTACTCACACCGGGGAGCTTGATGCCGCAGTCACCGCACTTGGGAGCAGTACCCTTCTTCTTGATGTGAAGGTACCGGAGCTCACCGCCAGGGGTCTTGATGATGCGAACCTTGTTGGACCGCGTGTTGTACCTAGAGACGAAAAACAGATTCCGTCAATATCCTGAGCAAAAAAGTCCAGAGTGAAGCTGAAAAAATCCCTGTCGCTTGCGAAATCGAACAAGCATGTCGTAGAATCGTAGCGACAAGAGGTGCTGAAAAAATGAAGGTATTCAGGGTATAGGGAAAATTTTCTCAACGTACGGGTTCCGGCGGCGCTACAAAATTAGAAAAATTCGAGGTTAGTTCGTTGTCTTCGTTTAATGGACGAAAAATCCTCCAGGATAGACTCACGTATTGCAATCTGTTGTTCGCCATTTTGATTGTCCTTGAACCTCAACGTCGGTGGTCAAGAAGATTGGCGGCGGCGGTCGTCGGTTGTCGTCGTTAAACCTCGTAGATTTCTGCTCTCAGCTATTCTGGACTTTGTGTGGGTTTGCCGCGCTAGCGCCAATTTGGCGAGACTGCGCCATCCCGGATGTAGTTAGCGTCGGTCCGACCAGAGCCGCCACCTCTTTTCAAGCTTGTCGAACTTGCCAAAGGTGAAGGGCCTTATCACCCATCGTTGCGAAGGGGCTTCATCTCGGTGTTGGTTTTGGTCTGTCGTTTTTCTTTCGTCGGGGTTGTTATCATTTTATTTCTCTTCCCCGTCATCTACTCCACGCCCTTTTTTCCAACATCCTGGGTCCGATTGGCCGATGAACTCGCGCGACCCTTGATGATCTTTCCCGACGTGAATCTCTGACGCGACTTGGACTCAGCATCAACGTCGACTCGCGAGATAGAGATCCTTCCCTCCCCCCTTCCTCCCCCCTCCTCTACATCAACTATCCATCATGGCATCGTTGCCTCCTCCCCCGCCCCCGGGCTGGGGTGCAGCGGCACCGCCTTCGATACCTCTGGCGCCGCCGCCGCCCGGTTACCAACCACCGGCGGACCCGACCGTCGCGAAATTCGCCCAAAAGAAGAATGATTGGCTGCGGACGCAACGCAACCGGTTTGGAGAGAAGCGCAAGGGCGGCTTTGTCGAAACCCAGAAGGCCGATATGCCGCCCGAGCATCTGCGGAAGATTGTCCGGGACATCGGCGACGTGTCGCAGAAGAAATTCAGCAACGAGAAGCGTAGCTACCTCGGCGCGCTGAAATTCATGCCCCATGCCGTTCTCAAGCTGTTGGAGAATATGCCCATGCCGTGGGAGTCGGCGAAAGAGGTCAAGGTCCTTTACCATGTGAACGGTTGTCTCACGCTGGTCAACGAGACTCCGAGAGTCATCGAGCCGGTCTTCCATGCCCAGTGGGCTACCATGTGGGTGTGCATGCGACGAGAGAAGAGTGATCGGAGACATTTCAAGCGTATGCGCTTCCCGCCATTCGATGACGAGGAGCCTCCACTTTCGTGGTCGGAAAATATCGAAGACGTGGAGCCGCTGGAGCCCATTCAGATGGAGCTTGACGAGTCTGAAGATGGCCCGGTCTACGAATGGCTCTATGAGCAGCGTCCGCTCCTGGACACCCCCCATGTCAATGGGCCGAGTTACAAGAAGTGGAATTTGACGTTGCCGCAGATGGCGACGCTCTATCGACTAAGTCATCAGCTGCTTAGTGACACCGTCGACCAGAACTACTTCCACATGTTCGACCTGAACAGTTTCTTCACGGCCAAGGCCTTGAATGTCGCCATCCCCGGTGGTCCCCGCTTCGAGCCCCTCTACAAGGACATCGACCCCAATGACGAGGACTTCAGTGAATTCAACGCCATTGACCGTATTATCTTCCGCGCTCCCATCCGAACCGAGTACAGAGTCGCCTATCCTTTCCTGTATAATACCCTCCCGAGAAGTGTCAAGCTTTCTTGGTACTCGCACCCTCAAGTTGTATATGTCCGCACCGAAGACCCTAATCTCCCCGCCTTCTACTTCGACCCTGTAATTAATCCGATTTCTTCCCGATCTGTCGCCCCCAAGAACATCACCGTGAGCCATGAGGATGAGATCTTCGGCCCGGATGGTGAGGACGATTTTGAGCTGCCGCCGGAGGCCCAGCCTTTCTTCGCCGACGAAGAACTCTACACCCCCGAAACGGCTTCCGCCATTGCCCTCTGGTGGGCCCCTCATCCCTTCAACAAGCGTTCCGGAAAGATGGTTCGTGCTCAGGATGTGCCGCTGGTAAAACAGTGGTACTTGGAGCATTGCCCGCAGGGCCAGCCCGTCAAGGTCCGCGTGTCCTACCAGAAGCTCCTGAAGACTTATGTGTTGAACGAGCTGCACAAGAAAAAGCCCAAGGCCCAGAGTAAGCAGAACCTGCTGAAGACGCTGAAGTCGACCAAGTTCTTCCAACAGACAACCATCGATTGGGTGGAGGCTGGATTGCAGGTCTGCCGCCAGGGTTTCAACATGCTCAACTTGCTTATTCACCGCAAGAACTTGACCTACCTTCATCTGGACTACAACTTCAACTTGAAGCCCGTCAAGACGTTGACAACCAAGGAGCGGAAGAAGTCTCGTTTCGGAAACGCCTTCCATCTTATGCGAGAAATCCTGCGTCTGACGAAATTGATCGTCGATGCGCAAGTGCAATACCGTCTTGGTAACATCGATGCCTTCCAACTGGCGGACGGTATCCTGTACGCTTTCAACCACGTCGGACAGCTGACTGGTATGTACCGTTACAAGTACAAGCTGATGCATCAGATCCGTTCGTGCAAGGACTTGAAGCATTTGATCTACTACCGCTTCAACTCCGGCCCTGTCGGTAAGGGTCCCGGATGCGGTTTCTGGGCGCCGGCCTGGCGTGTCTGGCTGTTCTTCATGCGCGGTATCATCCCCTTGCTCGAGAGGTGGCTCGGAAACCTGCTGTCTCGTCAGTTCGAGGGTCGTCACAGCAAGGGTGTTGCCAAGACCGTGACCAAGCAGCGTGTGGAGTCCCACTTTGATCTGGAACTACGCGCTTCGGTCATGGCCGATCTCATGGACATGATGCCCGAGGGTATCAAGCAGAACAAGGTCAACACCGTGCTCCAACATCTGTCGGAGGCATGGCGATGCTGGAAGAGTAACATTCCCTGGAAGGTGCCTGGTCTTCCGGCCCCGATCGAGAATATCATTTTGCGTTACGTTAAGAGCAAGGCCGACTGGTGGATTTCCGTCGCCCACTACAACCGTGAGCGAATTCGTCGTGGTGCGACTGTGGACAAGACGGTGGCGAAGAAGAACTTGGGCCGATTGACTCGACTGTGGCTCAAGTCTGAGCAAGAACGGCAGCACAACTACCTGAAGGACGGACCGTACGTGTCGTCCGAAGAGGCCGTGGCCATCTACACTACCATGGTGCATTGGCTGGAGTCTCGCAAGTTCTCGCCCATTCCCTTCCCCAGTGTTTCTTACAAGCACGACACCAAGATTTTGATCCTGGCCCTGGAACGTCTTCGTGAAGCCTACTCTGTCAAGGGTCGACTCAACCAGAGCCAGAGAGAAGAGCTGGCGCTGATCGAACAGGCGTACGACTCTCCGGGTACGACGCTGGCCCGTATTAAGCGATTCCTTTTGACTCAGCGAGCTTTCAAGGAAGTGGGTATCGACATGAACGACAACTACAACAATATCAACCCCGTGTACGATATCGAGCCTATTGAGAAGATCACCGACGCCTATCTGGACCAGTACCTGTGGTACCAGGCGGAGCAGCGTCATCTCTTCCCCGCCTGGATCAAGCCGTCGGATTCCGAAGTGCCTCCTCTTCTCACGTACAAGTGGGCCCAGGGAATCAACAACTTGTCCAATGTCTGGGAGACGTCCGAGGGCGAGACGAACGTGATGATCGAGACGGAGTTGTCCAAGGTGTACGAGAAGATCGATCTGACCTTGCTGAACCGTCTGCTGCGTCTGATCATGGATCACAATCTGGCTGATTACATCACGTCTAAGAACAACGTGCAGCTTAGCTACAAGGATATGAACCACACGAACAGCTATGGATTGATCCGTGGTCTCCAGTTCTCTGGTTTCGTGTTCCAGTTCTACGGCCTGATGATCGATCTGCTTCTGCTTGGATTGCAGAGAGCCAGTGAGATGGCCGGTCCACCCCAGAGCCCCAATGACTTCCTGCAGTTCCGGGATCGTGCTACGGAGACCCGACACCCTATCCGTCTGTACACTCGCTACGTCGACAAGATCTGGGTCTTCTTCCGATTCTCGGCGGATGACTCGAGGGACCTGATCCAGCGTTTCTTGACCGAGAACCCCGACCCCAACTTCGAAAACGTCATTGGGTACAAGAACAAGAAGTGTTGGCCCCGAGACTGCCGAATGCGCCTGATGCGACACGATGTCAACCTGGGTCGCGCTGTGTTCTGGGATCTGAAGAACCGGCTGCCCCGGTCGCTCACCACGATCGATTGGGACGATACTTTTGCCAGCGTCTACAGCAAGGACAACCCCAATCTTCTGTTCTCTATGTCCGGGTTCGAGGTCCGCATTCTGCCCAAGAACCGCAACCTGAACGAAGAGTTCTCGGTCAAGGACAGCGTCTGGTCTCTGGTCGATAACGCAACCAAGGAACGCACCGCCCATGCCTTCCTGCAGGTCACCGAGGAGGACATCCAGAAGTTCAACAACCGCATCCGTCAGATCCTCATGTCCTCGGGTTCGACCACCTTCACCAAGATCGCGAACAAGTGGAACACGGCTTTGATCGCGCTCTTCACATACTACCGCGAGGCCGCGGTCTCGACCGTCAACCTCCTGGACACGATCGTCAAATGCGAGACCAAGATCCAGACCCGTGTGAAGATCGGCCTGAACTCCAAGATGCCTTCCCGCTTCCCCCCTGCTGTCTTCTACACGCCGAAGGAACTGGGAGGTCTCGGTATGATCTCCGGATCCCACATTCTCATCCCCGCCAGCGACAAGCGGTGGTCGAAGCAGACCGACACTGGCATTACCCACTTCCGCGCGGGTATGTCCCATGATGAGGAGACTTTGATCCCCAACATCTTCCGTTACATCATCCCCTGGGAGGCGGAATTCATCGATTCGCAGCGCGTGTGGATGGAGTACTCGCAGAAGCGACAGGAGGCCCAGCAGCAGAACCGCCGCCTGACGCTCGAGGATTTGGAGGACAGCTGGGACCGCGGTCTTCCGCGTATCAACACGCTCTTCCAGAAGGACCGCAGCACGCTCAGCTTCGACAAGGGTTTCCGTTTGCGGGCGGAATTCAAGCAGTACCAGTTGATGAAGAGCAACCCCTTCTGGTGGACCAGTCAGCGCCACGATGGTAAACTGTGGAACTTGAACGCTTACCGCACTGACGTCATTCAGGCGCTGGGTGGTGTTGAGACCATTCTTGAACATACCCTCTTCAAGGCAACGGCTTTCCCGTCGTGGGAAGGTCTCTTCTGGGAACGTGCCTGTCTTGCCAAGGGAACCCAGCTGTTGCGTCACGACGGCTCTAAGATCAACGTCGAAGATGTTCAAGAAGGCGACCTGCTTCTTGGTCCCGACGGCGGACCTCGTCGTGCTTTCAACATCGTCAGCGGTTGCGATCGTCTATACCGCATCCGCCTCGGCGCAGGCGAAGAAGATCTCGTCGTTACGCCTAACCATATTCTGGTCCTCCACCGGAATAAGACCACTGGAGAGGCGAGCTACGATACCGTGGAGATGACCGCTACTGATTTCGCTGCCCTTGAACCCAAGGAAAGGCAACAACACCGGGCTCCCAAGTCCTCTCGCTCCGAGCAGAGCATGCAGGTGGACTCCGCTCTTAGTCTCACTATCGAAGATATTTCTCTCGAGGCTGAAGCCACAGAGTGGGCGGGTTTCCGAGTCGACAAGGACCAGCTGTATCTGCGACACGATTACGTCGTGCTGCATAACAGTGGTTTTGAAGAGAGCATGAAATTCAAGAAGCTTACCAATGCCCAAAGATCCGGTTTGAACCAGATTCCGAACCGTCGGTTCACCCTCTGGTGGTCCCCGACTATCAACCGTGCCAACGTCTACGTTGGTTTCCAGGTCCAACTGGATCTTACGGGTATCTTCTTGCACGGAAAGATCCCGACTCTGAAGATCTCTTTGATTCAGATCTTCCGTGCCCATTTGTGGCAGAAGATTCACGAGTCCGTTGTCATGGATCTGTGCCAGGTGCTCGATCAGGAACTCGAGCAGCTGGGCATTGAGGCCGTTCAGAAGGAAACCATTCACCCGCGTAAGTCTTACAAGATGAACAGTTCGTGTGCGGATATTCTTCTGTTCGCAACGAACAAGTGGAACGTGACCCGACCCTCGCTCCTGTACGACACCAAGGATGTCTACGAGCCTACCACGACCAACAAATTCTGGCTCGATGTGCAGCTGAGATACGGTGACTACGACTCTCACGATATTGAGCGATATGTTCGCGCCAAGTACCTGGACTACACCACCGACAGCATGAGTATTTACCCCTCGGCGACCGGTTTGATGATCGGTGTCGATCTCGCGTACAACCTCTACTCGGCATACGGACAGTACTTCCCCGGATTGAAGACGCTGATACAGCAAGCTATGGCGAAGATCATGAAGGCCAACCCCGCCTTGTACGTGCTGAGAGAACGTATCCGCAAGGGTCTCCAGCTGTATGCTTCGGAGAGCAACCAGGAGTTCCTCAACTCGCAGAACTACTCAGAGCTTTTCAGTCCGCAGATCCAGCTGTTCATCGACGATACCAATGTCTACCGTGTCACCATCCACAAGACCTTCGAAGGTAACCTGACGACCAAGCCCATCAACGGAGCCATCTTCATCTTCAACCCGCGAACCGGCCAGTTGTTCTTGAAGATCATCCACACCAGTGTCTGGGCCGGACAAAAGCGTCTGGGTCAGTTGGCGAAATGGAAGACGGCAGAAGAAGTGGCGGCGCTGATCCGGTCGCTGCCCGTGGAAGAACAGCCCAAGCAGCTGATCGTCACCCGGAAGGGTCTTTTGGATCCTCTCGAGGTCCATCTTCTGGACTTCCCCAACATCTCGATTCGTGCCTCCGAACTCCAGCTGCCCTTCCAGGCTGCCATGAAGGTCGAGAAGCTCGCCGACATGATTCTGCGCGCGACCGAGCCGCAGATGGTTCTGTTCAACCTGTACGATGAATGGCTGAAGTCCATCTCGCCCTACACGGCGTTCTCCCGACTGATCCTCATCCTGCGAGCGCTGCACGTGAACATTGATAAGGCCAAGATCATCCTCCGACCGGACAAGACGGTCATCACGCAGGAGCACCACATCTGGCCCACGCTTTCCGACGAGGATTGGATCAAGGTCGAAGTGCAGCTGCGTGATCTGATCCTGAACGACTACGGCAAGAAGAACAACGTCAACGTGCAGAGTTTGACCAGCAGCGAAGTGCGAGACATTATCTTGGGTATGGAGATCAGCGCGCCGTCCCTGCAGCGACAGCAGGCGGCGGAGATCGAGAAGCAGCAGGAAGAGCAGAAGCAGCTCACGGCTGTGACGACGAAGACGCAGAACGTGCGCGGCGAGGACATCATCGTGACGACCACGTCGCAGTACGAGCAGCAATCGTTCGCGTCGAAGACGGAGTGGCGCACGCGCGCCATCGCCACGTCCAACCTCCGCACGCGCGCCAACAACATCTACATCTCGTCGGACGAGATCCGCGACGAGGGCTACACGTACATCATGCCGAAGAACATCCTCAAGCGGTTCATCACGATCGCGGATCTTCGGGTGCAGGTCGCGGGATACCTGTACGGCAGCTCGCCGCCAGACAACGAGCAGGTGAAGGAGGTGCGCACGATCGTGATGATCCCGCAGGTGGGCAACACGCGCGAGGTGCAGCTGTCGCAGCAACTGCCGCAGCACGACTACCTCAAGGGGCTGGAGCCGCTGGGAGTGATCCACACGATCTCGGGCAACGAGCCGCCGTACATGACGGCGGCGGACGTGACGCACCACGCGCGACTGATGAACGAGCACCCATCGTGGGACAAGAAGACGGTGACGATGACGGTCTCATTCACGCCGGGATCTGTGTCGCTGGCAGCGTGGGGGCTGACGCCGCAAGGATACAAGTGGGGAGCGGAGAACAAGGATACGACGTCGGACCAGCCGCAAGGGTTCTCGACCAGCATGGGCGAGAAATGCCAGCTGCTGCTGAGTGACAAGATCCGCGGATACTTCCTGGTGCCGGAGGACAACGTGTGGAACTATAGTTTCATGGGTAGCTCCTTTGGCAGCGTCGAGAAGCGGCCGGTTTACGTCAAGATCGACACGCCCCTGAGATTCTACGATGATCAGCACCGACCGCTACACTTCCAAAACTTCGCCGAGCTGGAGGATATCTGGGTGGATCGCACGGACAACTTTGCTTAGATTACGGGGGCAGGCTTTACGGAGAAGAGGAGCGAAAAGAATAGAAAACGAAAAGGACGATGTAAAAGAAGCAAGTGGTTATTTTATGGGCGTTGCATTGGAGCTTATTCCTATTTTCTCTTCATTTCACGATGTATTTTTTTTTTCTTTTTTATGGTCTCCCTGTCACAATTCACAAATGATGTTAAATTAGTTATTTGACTTTCCCCTCTGTTTCATTACGGCTTTAATATGAATCGATTGGAATGACGTCCAGGTGAAATGAAGCCAATCAGAAGTCGAAGAAGGAAATCTCCTGAAATTGCCGCGGTGGAGTCCAGGGGTCGCCCGTCACGTCATGAAGTGGCACCACAGGACTCCACTCGCATCGGCCAGATATCATCCTGTCAGGTCCCCGTCTGGTCTCTACAGAAGAGAAATCGAAGACCGAATACTACTCCGTACAGAACACAGAGCCCGTTCTTCCAACGGATCCGGTCTGTTCCGCCAGTGGTGAATGCCAATCCTTGAAAACCCCTGGGCACAGCCAACCAGCGCTGCCCAAAGACAGGGTTAAACTGTTTCACCAGTGCCTCGTCGCTCTTTAGTTCTTTTGTCAGAAAAGCCGAATGTCGCAAATGCCACAAGGCCAAAAAGCAAATAAAATCATGTCGGGCAGGCTGTCGGCGCCACCTCCCCCTTCCGCAATCTTTGGGGGTTTATTTGGGCTGCAACGATCTCGATATGATTTATTGTCCTTCTCCGTACGGAGTCCATGGAATCCAATGTGCTTTTCCCCTGTCGGTCCTAGTCGACTCCGTTCTGGACCGGAGTTGCCATCTCGAGTGTTACGTATGGCGGGCAGGCTAAACCTCGTAGGATTTAGAAGATGTACTATAAGCTCCTCATGGCCCGCGTGGCCGTGGGTTTGACTTTGCATTCTTAAAAAGATGAGGCTTCTAGCTCGGAGACTAGATTTGGAACTAGTGAGGGTTTTTTTTTTTTTTTGGTTTTCTTTTTTCTTGTTCTTCTGTTTCTTCCGGGCTGTGCTTTCTCTGGCGGGCGCTTAGTTAACAACGGTACCTCGGGGAGAAGGAATTGACCCGGTCCGACCGTTTGTGATGATGAATTTGTGAATTCTGATAGACGCCATTAATTGAAATTGGAGGCAAGATTAATATAAACTGGGGGTAGAATATCGATACGGGAGGTGAAAGAATAAGGTTGGCACGAGTGGTCGAGAAGTTATAACGAAAGGTCATCAGGCACTCAGGCACTTCACTTCCCTCGCACGGTCTCTTCTCTGGCTCCATAATCAATCAAATCAGGGGACTTCCGTCCTCCCCTCGCCCTGCCCCTCTTAGTTCCCTTGCCTTGCTCCCCTCGGACGAGATGACTCCGTATCCAAGGAAATGATGATTACGATGATTTATTTCAATGGAAAATGAAATTGAAGGGAGATTAAACAGAAGGGGGGGATGAGAGAGAGGGGGGAGCTCAGAACAGCAACGTCAACCATCCAAACAAACCGCAATCAAATCAAATCAAATCAAATTAAAGCACAGCAAAGCAAAGCAAATAAAAAAAAAACAACAAAAAAAAAAACCTCATGGGGGATCTGCTGGATATGACAGCCGGTCAAGTGTCAACCTCTAGCTGAGGGCGCCACCAAACCTGCAGTTGCATGCCTTCTCGACTCCGGTCCAGGGTTCTCGCTCCGTCGAGTCAGCGGGAGACCGTTAGCAGAACTCAGCACTTTAGCACGGTCCCGCTCACACGGAGGTCGAGAAATTCTATCGCATCCCTCGTGGATTGTCTTACCTACCCTTCTAGCCATTGGCGTGGCTTCCGAAGTGGAGTTGCTGCGACGACAAGGCCCTGCTGACAGGGGACCTCCGTTAGTCTCCTCCTCTTGAGTCTAGTGCTGTCTCTTTCTATCCCGGTTGGGACGGGAGACGGACTGGACTGGATTGGATTGGACGCTTGCTGTGCTTTTGGCTATGCTGCCGTCTGTCTGATTCCTAAGCCAGAAAGAAAGAGGACGGACTGACGGACTGACCGACAGAGAGAGGCAACATGTTTGATGGAGAGCGAGAAAGAGAGAGAGAACGAGGCTTCCCTTGATCCGAACAGAAATGGACATGAATCCACCGTCCACTCGTTCGTATCCAATAAGTTGCCTGGCCTTGGGATCTCTCCCCGCTTTTATTTTTATTTGTGTACTCCGTTCTTGTCAGAGAGTGTCCGTGCGTCGGTGTTGATCATGGATGGTGTCAAAGGAAGCTGGCAAATGATGCCCCATCATCTGGCTCCTTCTCTTTGTTCTTGCTGCTGGCAGTCTGGCTAGTGTTTGTTTCATGCTGCCCTATCTGTTTTCTAATGCTCCACGACGGTTGCCATGCCTTGGCAAGTTAGCCATGCTAGACCGGCTGAACTGGATGAGAGATGACCGTTGTGACTGAGTTGTACTGTGCCTCGCTCGTTCTTCTGCTTCCTTTTCCAGTTCCCTCCCTCGCTGCAAGCTAAGCTTGACTGGAACGCAGATCCGTCAAATGGGGGATTTTTTTTAATTGCCCTTCTCTCTTCTTTCCTGTCCCTGTGTCCGTCCCTTTTTGATTTTATTTTATCTTATTCTAGTTGATCCTCTCTGATTTTTCCTTTTTTAATTTACCCACATGCAACGTCCTGAATCCGCCTCGACTTCTATACCTCCGAACTGGTTTTGCCCCAAACTCAATCATATCTCTATTTGCACTTCCTGAACCCTTTGTCTCCGTCATCCAGCTTTATATTATATGCTGCAGCCGATGACTGTCACAGTTTTGACTCCTGCATAGAGGTCCGCTACCGAGTACACTAACTTCCACCCTAGCTTGTCTGGATCTGTTCTCTCGACCGGCTGAATTTCGATTTCTCACGCGTCTGGGATCGTGCTGATTTTTAATCTTCATTTTCTAACGTTCTGGGTGTTCTAAATTTCTTTGTATTCTGAGTGGGGGGATAAGCGGCATCCATCGAGGCTTTGACTGCTGAGATCTGCCTAAAGTTCGTTCCTTTTCTTTTTTTCTTTTTTTTTTTTTTAGTTCCTGCCCATTTCAATCCCTCTGATACTCCGCGCACACTTTGGGTTTAATTTTAGTTCATGGTGAAGAAAAACGGTATTTTTGGAAGTGCCAAAGCCCGTCACATCGCTCCTTCTCCCTCTCTCCCTCTCCCTCCCCTTTCAGCTCAAGACCAATGCGTTGCCTTTTCAATCGCCTATCCTCCCCCTCTCTTCCCTCTCCTCTATCGTCTCATGTTCATTTCGGGTCTGTGGAATTGTACGATCACCTTCATTTCAATTCTCTAGCGTTGTCGCCACCGGCTGACAAGACACCTCGTGATTTGCTGACTCGTGGAAACAGCTCATTTTTCCCCTTGGGATTAAATTGGCTTCTGTTATATCACTCCGATATTATATGATTATATACTTGAGCCCTCGCGAACGGTTCGATCGCGCATGAGGTTAGAATTCGGTATATGGCTACGGAATTGGATGCTCTTTCACCTACATAAAACCTCAACGGCTTGAGCACGGTCGTGATTCGATCAGCTAAATCCTTGTGTCAGGCGATTTTCATTGCAGGAGTCTCTTTTCGGTGCTCACCTTTTTTTTTCCCCCTCTCTTCCTTTCTCTCGAAATCCTTCGACCATCCTAGCAATTGGGTAGCCTGCCAGGGCTTTCAGGCTCTAGCAGCGCCGATGTATGTCCGCGACGCTGGCGGATCCGTATAGAGACTATGCAATTGATTACGCTCAACATGCCCACTGCAAACCGGAGGAGCAGGAAGGCACCCTCGTCTATCAGACGCACCCGCCACATCTTCAACATCCCAAGCAGGCAGAATCTCCCTTCCAGCAGAGGAGCTCGCACAACTCGGCATTTGAGCAACATCATGCAAATGCGACCGTCCTTCCCGCCGCCAGTCACCAGCCCTCCGTGCATGATATCTCGCAATCCGTCGTTCTCACGCCGACGCAAATGCTGCCTCCGCGGCAGTTACCCGTCCACTATACGACGCCTTCGTCCAGCTTCGAGCTGTCTTCGGTTCAACAGCAGCATCAGCAGCAACACCAGCACCAGCAACATCAGCGAGGCAAAAAGCGACTGCATTCCGAGACGGAAGATGGTAGTGGCGGCGGCGGCGGAAGCGGAGGCGACGGAGACGCCGAGCATCATGCGATCAGGCCACAGATGTCCGTTCTCGCCCCCGATGCCACCCCGGTCGAGAACCCGCATTCGCCAGAGATGCTATTTTCCGTGCACGGCGCCGAATCTGCCCATCGCCATGCGCACCCGCACCACCACCATCAACACCAATTGGCCGCAGCTGCCGCGGCGGCGGCGGCGACTGGCGGGCACGATTTCGTCGGACCCCCGGACTCGGTGGCCCTGCCACAGCAGCACCATCATCATCGACTGCCACCGCACGCCTCGCTGCGCGACTCGCAGCGTCACGGTATGAACGTGGAACCGTCGCCGGTGCCGACGGGTCCGCCCAGCGTGGTGGGCCAGCCCGGCATGCCCGATCCGGCGCCGCGGCCGCGCGGACCGAAATTGAAATTCACGCCCGAGGAAGACGCCCTGCTGGTGGAGCTGAAGGAGAATAAGAACCTGACGTGGAAGCAAATCGCGGATTTTTTTCCCGGTCGAACGAGTGGAACGTTGCAGGTGCGGTACTGTACAAAGTTGAAGGCGAAGGATGTGGCATGGAGTGACGAGATGGTATGTTACTTCCGGGATACCTTAGGGGATAAAACGTCCCTTTGCCTTAGATGTTTATCTTGGAAATCTGAACTAATGATTATGACATCAGGTCCAACGGCTCCACCGCGCCATGCAAGAGTACGAGAACGATCGATGGCGCATCATCGCGGGCAAAGTAGGCAACGGGTTCACGCCGGCGGCGTGTCGAGAAAAGGCGACTCAACTCGAATAGATACGATACTTTGGACTTGATCAGGTCTGATCTGATCTGACCTGAGCTGGAGATAAAAAGAAATTTTGTTTATTTTGGATTAAACACTATTCCCCCTTCGTTTATTTAATTATCTCTTTTTTTCTTTCATTTTTTTCTTCTTATTCTCTCATTCTACATCAATTTCTTGACCTTATTTTTTTTCGATTCTTATTATATAATATTATTCATCGACTGTCCACCAGGCTGGTCTGTTCTGGAAGCGTTGTATGTACATACTGCATGGATGTTCAAGGAACAGAACAGGTCCGGTTGGCATGGGACAGGCGAAGGCAGGCAAAGCCGGCATTGCGAAGTCAATAGAGCGTCTAGCGTATCGATACTACTTCAATTCAATTCTGGATTTCTATCTATTTGATTCTATATTTAATCGAGGCTGTGTCGGTCCGGTCCAGGCAGTGTTGGTTTTCTTTGTCAATCTTAGTTACTTGCTTGCTCTGCCCCAGTGGAATGGCTGTTCATCTTATGTACAAAGTTCAACGGTCCAAGTACGTCTGTGCATATTTTGATATGGACGAACGAATTGTGGCTGAATTCGAATGGCAGGCTTTGTGTCATGTCGGAGTATTGGTTGACTACAGTAGTCAAGTTTGTTTGATTACTTTCCTACCTATTCCGTACAATTCTGACCTTATGCATTCAGCCCTGTCCGAACGGCGGACGGGCTGACTGTGGCTGGCTCGCTTAAGGTACGGATGTGAGTTTTCTTTCTTTTTCCCCCTTGTCTAGATGTTAGGTCAGGACAGCAATACGACGTGATCATGGCAGTTCTCACGGTTGGCAAGGCTGAGATTTGGAATTTGGAATAAAGGAATTTGATTTGGAATTATAGATAGATAGATAGGCCGGTGTGTCAGAATGTAGTAGATGCGATGTATCAACTTCACTCAGAGACGTTTAGATAGATGGATGGATGTAATTTTGTCTGGTGGATATCCATGTGAGATGCCTGAAGGGGATAAGAGTATGTGAGACATTCACTGTAGGTATGTAGTAGTCATCCGAAGGAACAGTACTTTTGCAGTACGCAAGTCAGCACACCAAATTTGCTGATCGTGTCCTTTAATTTTATTCTCCCGGGTGAGTGTCTCAAAGACATGTTCATTATCTGTATCTCTCTATCCTAATTACATTGTCTTACTCTTTAATTTAGCCACTCGAGTCTACTTACTACGGTCTGCGCCGCTGCGATGACGATTGTAGTATCAGCATACAAGGCAAGGACTTTTCGCACAGCCGCTTTAAACGCGTGAAATCTTTCAATTGCACGAGGTCTAGAGGGGATCATTCAATGTCTTCTCGGTTTATGAGAAAGAACAGGGTGTGGAATGAGGTGGTATATCTATCAACCATTTGTTAGGGCCGCGTTAACCGCAGGGTTGATTGGTCTTTTTCTCTAACGGTCTTCTTTTCCATGAAATATACAGTTCCTGTCTTCTTGAACCTCAATTGGGTCATTGGCAGGCTCATCTATCAATTGTATCTGCGCCCATCTTGAGATGGCAGGCATTGTGATGGGTGTTGTCGGAAGATGGAGTCACCGTACGGAGTACTCTGGACACCTGCAATACTGATAGAGGAACAAATCTGTAGAGTACATTAGGATGTAGGTAGAAAAGACGAATGACTTCACCGTTTGCTTTCTCCGTCTGATGCCTTTCTGTCTGTCTGTCTGTCTGTCTGTTTGCTTGCCTGCTTGTTTGTTGGCTATGTTTGATAAAATCTCCGAACCCTACAATCCATATTCCGACCGCATGCACAGGTACACACAAGACACCAGATCTGACATGTCGACTCCGGAGAGAAAAAGAAGAAGAAGCAGTCAGCACTCTGTTTGATTATCAATCATCCACACCTCCCCACCTGCACCGTCGCCTGAAGACTTGACGAGTCTAGAACCCGTCGGCCTCAGGCCAGGAAGTTCATTTCCCCTGAACTAACGGCCCCTAATTGGCGGATGGCAGATCCGGAATGAATGGGGACTAGCGGTTTCAGGTGCTTTTACTGGTTTAGGCGGAGGGATTTCTCTAGGAGTATATTATAGGCGAGGCTGAAACTAGCTGTGGTTGAACCGACCCACCCACCGCCTTCCGCCGGTGGGGTCTGCAGCGCAATGGAATTTTCACCGCAAAGGAAGAAATGAAGCAATTCGTATTAATTTGAATATATCAATCACCCACGTGGAGGATCGTAAAAAGCAATATTATCAATACAATCAGTAGGCGATTCTGCATCAGGGACTGCAAGTTGAGGCGGTGAACAGCCGAATTTCTCTTTATACGCCTTATTCAACTTCTTCTCCTTGCTGGCAGCCTCTTTCGCCCTTCTATTCGCGATAGAGCCATTTGCATCCTTCACACTCAATATTCCGCTATCCGAAAGGCCCTTTACTTCTCGCTTAGTCGTTTTTCGCTTGCGCGGGCCCAAAAGCGCCTCTATTCGTTGAAGAGTAGTGATCGTATTCGCGAGATCTTCACATTGAATCTTCGCATGGTGTAGGATACGCTCAAGATTGTGTTTGACCTTCGGGGTCAAGTCCTCGCTCGCGAAGACTTGAGCGATCTTTTTCTCATTTTTTTGAACCTGTATAGAGCTTCTTGGAGGCGTATTTTCAACGCTTGAAGAGACAGGATTCGGAGGAGGCGTAGTCTCTCCATACGACCGAAGATCAGGCGCTGATATCAACGGAATCGGCGGTAGAGTATCTTCAAGCGCTTCAATGATTGACGATCCGTTTGGAGGGAAGATTCCGCGTTCTTTAAAGGATTCTCGTATACGCCGTTGCTTGAAGTTTTCCGCGCGCGCGGCCACGATATCCTTCAAAAAAGTTGCTTTATCTCCGGGCTTCCCGGTCCACTGAGGTATCTCATTATTTTTCATTTTGAATTTCTGTTTATATGCAAGAAAAGGGGTCCCATCAAGAGGTTGGCTGATCTGCGTTGTATGAGATAAAAAACAGAAAGGAATAATCTCGTAGGCCTCGCAGAGTTGAAGAAATTCAACTGTTTTATGCGAAGTATGACCGTCAAAGATAATCACGCGTTTTTCTCCTTTTTTTATACGATCCAGGGTTTCCTCGTGAAATAATCGAAGCCATTCAAGCGCGAGTTTATCGTTGATATAGCCTTTTTCTGATACTGCAGTATAGAGGTCAGGCAGATCCTCGTGTTACCAGCTTTCCATAAACCTCTTGCCTTTGAAGATAAAAAGCAGCTTCATGATCCAGCCGTCTGCAGAGATGTATTCAAGCGCTGTAATATTTTCAGATTGCTCAGATTCTGTAAGATTACGAAATCTTCCTTTCCTAGTCAGGACGTTTTGACGCTTTCCTTTGCCTGGTTGAAAACCGCATTCATCGAAATTGTATACGAGGCGCGCGGGAAGGCCTTAAGCACGTTAGAGAGCTGATTATACCAGAATTGAAGCAGTCCAACATCTTCGGCATCTAATCGTTTCTTTTCCTTCGGTTTTTGAACCACCTTCTCCAATTTGAGATGATCAGGAAGCCTCTGGTTGAAGCGATAGGCCCATGTTGTAGAGATGCGTTGATCCGATCCCGTACGCTGCAAGGTCCGATTTGCCATCTCTTCAACCATCGATATCGTGATAGCAAGATAAAGATCATCCATACGAACGATCTACCGCTTCAAGGCTTCCTCCTGATACTCATTGAGCGTCTTATTTTGTGGGATTCGAGCAGTACTAGGCGATCGATTCTCGGAGACGCGTCCGTGGAGTGTACGGTAGAGAACATCGAAATCTCGCGCGACTTTTGCGATAGAGAGATTTTTATTGCGACGAGCGTATTCAGCGGCTTCATTTATACGTTCTTCTCGAATTTTGCAAGATTAGGCATGTTTGGTGGTTTGTATGGCTTCAAAATGATAAAAATATGAATTTCTTCCTTTGCGGTGAAAATTCCATTGCGCTGCAGGCCGAGGCGGTGGGTGGGCCGGTTCAACCACGGCTACATAGTATCGCTGTAGGACAGGTGGTTCAGCATAACTGTATTAGGTAGTTATGCACAAATAATGACTCAGACAGATTTTCTTTAACTATGCCTTCTGGAAATCAGCATGTGATCTGCTTCTATCCAGGATATGATCCCCCGTCCTTTCTTTGGTGGATATACTCCGTACAGCACAGCCTGCGTTACCTTCATTCTAGATCTCATGATCATGATGTCAATGATCGCGGAACACAGGGACGGGGTTGCACTGTGAAAGTCTGTCCTCCCCTCCAACCCCACTCCAGAGCATTACTCATCGACACCAGGCTGATTTCGGGGAGTAGCACAAGAGAAAGTCAGACTGATGGAGTATAGAACTTAACCCTCCCCTCTCCATCCGACATCCGACGGACTGTGGGGAAATCGGAAGAGCCGATCGGATCGTCGTTGCATGACGGCACGAGGGGAGCTTCCGACTGACTGCAGAACGACGGTTTGCGGGGATGGCCGTCCGGAAGCCTCGCATTTCCAATCATGGACATCCGTCGTGGCAGATCATTCGAATATAAAGAGAGTTCAGTCCTGGGCATGGACTGTAGGTTGACGTTTTGAGTTACTTTTTTATTTTATTTACACCTCATTCCCTCCTCCATTCATACTTTAACTTTCCTCGATCATCCTTGCTTCATCTATACTTCTCTCCTATCAGCTATCTTCACCCGCATAGTACACTGTACAGTACATCTCAAACGATAAAGAAGTTCAAGGAAGAAAGAAAATGGCCACCCATCGCTTCGACCCCAATTTCACCGACAATGTCGTCAACGCCATCGGTCCCGCCGCCACCCCTCGGTTCCGCGGCCTCATGGCCAGTCTCATCCGCCACGTGCATGACTTCGCGCGCGAGAACGAACTGACCATCGACGAGTGGATGGCCGGCGTGCAGCTCATGAACTGGGCCGGACAGATGAGCAACGACAAACGTAACGAGGGACAATTGGTTTGCGATGTGATCGGATTGGAATCGTACGTCCTCCCTCCTTAACTAGCGCCCCACCCATCTATCCCCCTAACAGAAATGAAATGAGAATAGACTATGCGACGAAATCACATTCAAACTGGCCTCCGAAGCCACCGACACACCCACCGCGACCGCCATCCTCGGCCCGTTTTTCCGCGCAGACACGCCCTACCGGTCCAACGGCACAAACATCCTCAAGACACCCGTCCCCTCCGGCGAGGGCGAGATGGTCTTCATGCACGGCCGGGTCGTCGACTTCGAGACCAAGACGCCGCTGGTCGGCGCGACCGTCGAGGTGTGGCAGGCGTCGACGAACGGGCTGTATGAGCAGCAGGACCCCGCGCAGGAGGAGTTCAACCTGCGGGGAAAGTTCCGCACGAATGAGGAGGGCCGGTATTGGTTTTATTGTTTGAGGCCGACGCCGTATCCGGTTCCTGATGATGGTGCGTTCTTCTTTATCTTCCTTGGAGGATATGTTGGTGAAGATAGGGAGAGTATATGTTAACGAGATGTGACCTACACAGGACCCGCCGGGAAACTACTCAAGTTGATGGATAGACATCCCTTCCGACCGGCTCATATTCACATCATTGTATGGCCCATCCCTCCCTATCTACCCACCCACCAAAGCCAAAAGAAAGAACAGAACTAATAAAGAACAGGCAACATACGACAACTACAAGCCCCTCACAACGCAGATCTTCGACCGCAAAGACCCCTACCTGACCAATGACTCAGTGTTCGCGGTCAAAGACTCCCTGGTGGTCGACTTTGTAGAGCGCAAGGATGACCCCCAAGCGGGTCTAGAGCTGAACTATGATGTGAAGTTGGTGCCGAGTGAAGGGCGGAAGTAGAATCGAACAGCGATAGAAACAGACAAATGGTGGGAAAGGTTGGTTAGGGGGGAGGGAGTATTGTATATATGTAGGCATTTTTCATTTTTTACTCCTTTTAACGATGACACGGTGAGTGTGAGGCCAAAAACGGCCGTATCTGAGGCGTTTTAAGCGTCTCGCTCACCAGCACGGGCATTGCCGTCACGTACATCTCACACGGCCTTTTCGGTCTACTGCCACCCTCGTCTCAGGTTGGCCGTCCGGCGCTGATCCCCGAAGACTCTTCCGTACAAGGAGACTCGAGTTCTAGTGTTGGTGAAATTTCGAAGTACAATAAATCCTCAATATAACCCCTCCAGTTTATAAATTCTGTTAATCAATGAATCAGTCACCGTGTCCTTTTTCAAATTGTCATACAAAATTGGTTAATCCCCTATTTATCGAACTTCCTTACTTTCACGGCTTCGTCCCCATACAGATTCGTTATTTATAGGTCAATTTTTTGATTGACTGTTAATAATGGCGCGCCGTACGGTTATCTCAATCGAGCAAAAGGAGGTTTTTCGCGCGCATAAAGCCTCAATCCAGGACTCAGTAACCTCCAGATCAAAGACTGGTTTAAAGCAAAATTCCGGCAGGTTATTGCTCCCTGGACTGTAAACAAAACAAAACGAGGCTGGCGGAGAAATAGACCGATGTTCTCATCACATGACTAGTTTGTTTTGTGACCGTACTATATCCACAACAACACCGTCCGCACGGATCATAGATGATCCCTAATCACGTGACATCTAGATAGTGTTGGAGCCTAGGATTCGGGGGGTATTGATGCACCTAGGAACTAGGCTAAATACATCTAAGTGCTGACTAATACAGTTCAGACCGGCACCCGGGGCAGAGGGATAACCTGATGTTCCAACAGATAGTGTTCGCAAGGCATGATTCTGTCCAATTCAAGGGGGTCGGGCGAGCTCACTATCTAGATGGGTGACTAAAAGAGGCCACGTGACCATACCGAATACGGTAGGTCAGATAGGGACATCTCCCATCATCCTTTAGCCGCACTGTATCAATACACATCCATCACTATCACAGTTTTCCAGGTGATGATTACGGCACGATTCCTTTCCTGGACTAGCCTAGATTACTTCAATATATCACCTTTTTGCATCTTCTCATCAATGTCAACACTGTGAAAAATCCCCCTTCGGTCGATGATGTGAGTCCATCGTCACTAGGTGAGCATCGACTTGGGGCCTCGACTATATTCGGCCTCGGAACCGTGGATCCTGCCCCCTCAATATCACCATCAGCTGCAACTGCCTCACCAACATGACTTGGTTCGAGGAAGGACCAACCTGTGCACCAAACAATTCGAACTTCCTTGAATTCTATTCTCTGTTGTAGGTGATCCTGAATACATCTATCTCTCGATGAAACACAACTGAACAGACTATGGCTAAACCAGATCCAAACCGTGAGGCGATGCCGCCGCCTCCTACACTAACAAGTCGATGACGGTCCTCTAGACCCAGTTCGCTGTCACATCGCCCCCAATCTTCCTCCCCTGTGATCACTAAGTCCTCTGCATCTGGGCAGACCGAGTCCTCGGCTGCTATGTCGTCGATATCGAGCGATTCTTGTCCAAAGTCCGATGCGTTCTCCACGGCTACAAAAACTGAGGTCAGACGACTTGCAGGAGATCGCTGTTGGGCATGCCAGTCTACGGAACCTCAGATCTGTCATGTAATCGCGAAGGAGGATAAGCAAGTACGTGATACTATTGCTGCTGGCTCGAACGGAATATGGATAACCATAGTTGATAGGTGGACCTTTGGTTTGAGGCAGGCCTCCTCAACTTCGGTTTAACGTCAACATCAAACGGAATACCTCTCTGTGGAACTTGTCATACCCAGTTCGATCGAGCTCATGACCCAGGTTTTGTCTTTATACCCACCGACCTACAGTACTTTATCAACTTTGAACTTGAGGATAGAGAGAGGAGGTCGACCGGCAACGTTCTCCCTCGGCAGGTCCCAACAAGTGTCATGTACAGGGACCATTTGATGAAGGAGAAGAAGATCCCAGATGGTGCAACAAGTGGGCTATACCGACCACTTTTCCTGAAAGAGTACCTGCTCCAAGGCATTGTCTCTGTTGAAGATCTCGGCCTCACAAAACCCAAGCAGTGGCATGGAGCTCCAATTGCGACATTGCGACGAGGTATCTTAGCACTCGGGAGCGCTAGGATTACCTCGCTTGACAAAGCAACCGTTGCTCGACTACAAATGCTCCGTGACCTGTACTTTCGACCGGCTGAAGATAACTCTGTAAACGTCAGGAGCAGTCTGACCCAACCAGACCTTCAATGCCAGAGACGACGCACGGATGATGATGATGATGAGCAACCTGAAAACAAGAGGTTCAAGCGGGATTCGACCAGGATGGATGAGCCAGAGCACATGGATGGTAACGACTTGGATGCTCGGCAGCATTGTCTTCGTGCTTTCGAGGCAGAATGGGTTTTAGGCCCCAATTTCACCACCGAACAAATCATTCATCGCTACGCTCCTGTATTTGCTCATGATTGAGCATTTATCGGTGACGGCTCTATCCATCCATCGCTATGCTTATGTGCCTAGTTTCTCTGCAGCGCGCCGAGACTGACTTTTTTCACCTCTGGCGAGCCTTTCGAGCTGTGGCGCATCACCCGTGGTTATGCTGGAATCACCCACATTCTTAGTCTAGGAAGGTTGACGAATGTATGTTAATTATTATCTCTCTGTTGCTATTTCTGTTCTATTCTATAGTTGTGTATGGTGAGCCTATGCGTCGCCCTAAGCGTTAGCGCAGAAGTACAGCTCAGATTATGTTGGCATTTACATGGAATTTCTATCATATTATTTCATTCTAGCAAATCTAAGCTTTCCTCGATTTCTGCGCGAAATGGGAGCTTCAGCAGCGTACACCTAGGTGTATACGGTATGGATGGTGTGGCCGGGTAAAAGAGGCCAGGGACGGCGTTTAACCCAAACGGGGCCGAGGCGAGGGCGCCTTACCTGAAGAGGCAGAAGGAGGGCGGACTTAGGCAGGCGGTCGGGGGAGGCAGAAGAGCGGTGCAATGGGAGCCGAAAGCGGCGCCCCGCTCACCATGTCATCATATACTTACTTTCTGCCTATCTTGAGGGAAGGGTTTGATAATAGCGGGGTTTATTTTATTTATCATTTTATCAAGGTTCTTTTCATTCAATAACTAGGTCAAGTAGAAACCCTCTAGGCTTTGGTTGAGACAAAACTTCAATAAGGTTTTCATGACTATATACAGTCTTATCACATCATTTGGTTATGGGCCTGGTCCAACGTAGAGATCGTGAGGGAAGCCAAATGATATCCAAGTATCAGCTACAGCTAGAACCAGTTAGCCCCAGCAATAAGAATACTAACATTTCACCATCTCTAACCAATCACTAAAAACCATTTACAAACAAAGCAATAGCCTTGCCCACCTGATCCGGCGCCTCAAGACAATGCCAATGGCCCACGTTCTGCAGCACCTCCATCTCCTTGTTCGCACTGGACACGCGGTCAAAGATGTGCTGACACCCCTCCATCGACGCAGACTTGTCTTCCTCGCCGGCAATCAGCAAGAACGGAGCTTTGACGGCAGAATAGTCGATCGTCGGCGCCGTGGCGATAGCCTGGCAGAGAGCCGCATAGCCCTGAGGGTTCTGGCCCAGGAGGAGCTCGCGGATGAAGGATTTGGTGAGAGCCGAGCACTGCGTGCCGGTTGCTGCGTCGGGGATCGAGTTGGCCATGGGTTCCATTCCGGCTGTACGAAGGTTAGTATTCATTCATGGTCCTGTTTGAGTTGAGAGGGACAGTACAGGCTGAGACAATTTCGTATCTCTTGCGCATCCCGGTCGCCAGGGCCTCGGACGGGTGGGTTGGTCCGATAGCCACGACGCCCTTGATGCGATCCGCATATTGAGCGCCCAGCAGGGTCACGACCAGTCCGCCCATCGAGTGGCCCACCACCACGGCTTGCGGGATGTGCAATGCGTCCAGCACGGCGATGACATCCGAGGCGATGGAGGCAATCGACACCGGTTGGCCGGTGTAGGTCGAGCGAGCAGCGCCGTACGTGTCTAACGTGACGCTGCGATGGCCGGCCAGGTGAGCGATGACGGGGAAATAATAGTTCTGCGACGAACCCAAGCCGTGGATAAAGACAAAGGTCTGGCCATTTGCGGGGGCACCGTCGGGGTGCGAGTCGGCATAGTGAAGCTGGTGGTCGTTGACGGTGAGGTAAGGCATTTTGACTAAACTTTTCGAGTGGAGGAGGCATGGGGTGTAGAGGAGCTAAATATCGGACCTCCGAGACTATCAGATCTGGAGCAATGCGTTATCGACGTCATTGCCGCCCGTACCAAAACATCCCGACCAACATGCGAAGTCTCCTGGAACTTTATCCCGATTTTCTTTCCGTTCAACAGTTCCAATCTTAATTGCGATTATCATACCGCAGTTCGTCCATGATCATACCATCGGAACATCGAGGCCGTTGCCATCAAGGCGGGGGAAGCCCCAGCTTATCACCGCCCGAGCCGACGAGGGGCAAGTCGCCATCCGAACCGACGGAGGACCCGCGCGTTCGGATAGCTTCGAAATAGAGTGCCTTGTACACGACAGTCGGTCAAACGGCATCCAACTGCACCAACTCTCGCTCAAATTCTTCATCCGTATCGAATTCATGTGCAAACTCCTCCAGCAAGTCCGCCGTATCGTCGCGGAATGATTCCTCCACGGGCAATCCGATGGGAACCGGTCTATCCGACGTCTCCGCTGGCTGGGGTTTTGCAGTAGTCGCCATGCTATCCGCTTCTTTGATGAGATCCTCGTCGTAGAATATCGAACAGTCGGAGAATTCGTCGTCGTCTTTCTCTCGCATTGAGCCTTTGCGGGTATCACCCGTCCCAACATTCTCCGTAGCCACTGTTCCATCCTGCAAGAGTCCATTCTCAAGCCCTGCGATAATCGTATCGTCCGACAAACCGTCCAGATCATCCAGATCTTCTAGACCTTCTAGACCTTCTAGATCTGCCAACAAGCTCTCCTCCCCTTCCTCATCAAACTCCCCGAGACTCTCCCTTCTCGAACTCCCCGGAGAGGACTCAGACCCAAACTCTGCCTTCTCTATATCCTCATCCTCCCCCTTCTCCTCTCGCTGCGGAGAACGAGAACCCGCCTCCGCCTCCGCCTCGACCGGCGCAGACGCAGTCCTCTTCATCAAAAACCTCGACAACAAAGGCTGACTACTCGGCACCGGCTCCGCACACTGCTGATCCGCCAGCAACCCACCACGTCCCTGTTTCCTCCGTTCCTCACGCTCCGCGGCCTCCTTCTCCGCCTTCTTCTTCTTATTCGCGATGCGTTTCTTCTCGCGCTCACGGAGCTGCTTGGCGCGTTTCTCGCGCGCTTCTTCCCGCTCGATGCGCGCGATCTGAGACGCTGAGAACTCTAGGCGTTTGTTGCTGCGTTGGTAGCGGCGGCGGACGGTGCGGGATTTTTCGAGGACGATTCGTTTCGGGGAGGGCATCTTTTTCTTTCTCCGTTTTGGGAAGGTTGAATGGCTTGGAGGGCGGGAGGTCTTGATGGCTAAGGTCGGTTTCGGTCAAGGATCCCCGCGAGGGGTGTTCGTTTTTGGATTGCTGATCAGGAGTTATGGATTCGAGTCCTTTGGTTTCGACACCGTAGTAACTGTAAACTAACTATCCTATCATATCCGGGGACGGACATTGGCGTTTGGGGGTTGAGGGGACGCGTGGCGGGGAACATGACAGTTTGTGATTTCACATTGGCAGGATAGCCAAATCAATAAATAGATGTAGGCCGTGCGAAGGTTTGAGGCTTGTTTGGAAATGTTCCGGTTGCCAGGTAGTCAAGGTAGGTAGGTCAAAGTGGTACCTAGAGCTTGCAGCTGCCTTGTTCCTGGTCTGCGGCGATACGTTATACCGAAGGCGGAGGATTACCGCCGGAGGAGGGCTCCGTTCTGCATGCTTCCTTCCGGGTAGGATCCGTGAATCGGGGGTGGGTATTCTTTTGTTTCTATTCTATGTTCTATGTTCGTTTGTTCATTGTTCTATGGGAGACACGGTCGCTGTTTCCATCTGACCTCCGTCAGTTTACCCGTCTTTTTCTGTCTACAGACGGGAATCACGGGCCGGGTCCCAGCAGACAGGCGCGTAGGCGCTCGTCTTCAATGTGTCCATGTCTTCTTGGGTCAGTTCGAAATCGAACACCTGCGAGTTCTCGATGATGCGGGAGTCGGTCACCGACTTGGGAAGGGGGACATAGCCCTACATATTGTCAGTTCTGTCGTTGCTATACTCCGTATACAGGGAACATGACAAACCTTCTGCAAACTCCAACGGATCAAGATCTGCGCTCCAGACTTGTTATGCTTGCGGACCAGACGCTGCAAGATCGACTCCTTCATGCGCGTGGCCTGCACCAGAGGCGAGTAGGCCTCCACCACCACATTGCGCTTCTTTAGCCAGGCCACGATATCCTCTCTCGTGCACCACGGGTGGATCTCGTATTGGCCGACGGAGATCTGTCCGCCCACACCGCTGTTGATGTACTCTTCCAGCTCGTTCAGGTGGTGGATGCCGTAGTTCGAAACGCCGATGGAGCGAATCTTGCCGGTCTTCTGCGCCTCCACGAGAGCGCGCCACGCACCCAATCGACCTTCTTTGCCGCCGTAGGGGGCGTGGAGGAGCACCCTGATATCCACCATTAACTTCTCTCAAACCTGACTTGTTTGACTCGAGGTTCAAAGGTCAAACGTACAGATCAATGTATTCAATGCCGGCAGCATCCGCAAGACTCGCCTCGATCGCCTCCTTAGCCTTCTCATACGACATGTGAGTGGCAGGGACCTTAGTCGTGTAGAAGATCTGGGACCGCTCGACGCCGGATTTCCGGATGGCGTCGACGCATTGGGCTTCGTTCTCGTAGTACTTGGCGCTGTCGATCTGGATGGGCAGGATGTCAATTTGAAGTCCACACCAAGCTTTGCAGAGTCACACTAACGTGGCGGTATCCGGTCTCCAGGGCCTTCAGTGTCACCTTCTCCGTGACATCGGGAGGGCTACGCGTGGTCAGATAAGAGAGTCCACTACCTGCGCGTTAAGAAGCGAGACGTACGTTTGGTAAACCTAGAAAGATACTGTGAGCCTACGGTTGATTTCCCCTCAATCTGTAAATCAGATACTCACACCGAACCCAACAACCGGGATCTCATATCCCGAGACCATCTTCTGAGTGGACTGCAGCGTAAGCGGGGCCATGATGTCGTCGACAAGAGGATATTCCACCTCGATAAGATCGAATGATCAGATAAGAAAGGGATTTAAATCAAGGGGGAGAAGAAGAGTGTTGTCAACCGGAGGAATAATGTAAAATGGCGCATTCCAATTATATCATCTCCTTTTTTTCTCTCTCAACCCTTCCCCCCCTTCTCCAACCAAATTTTCAGACCGCTTTCATTTCTTTCCAGTTCCGCAGTTCGCTTCTCCCACCCGTGACCCGTCATGCCGACGAGTGACGAAAGTTGCGGTGGAGTTGATCAACGTGGGGCTCTTCCTAGATGGTTTCTGCAGGCAACTGGAAGGCCGACTTTCGGACTCCGCGTGTGCCGGCCGGCGTGATGTCTAATCAGGCATTGAGCAGATTAGGTCCCAGAGATGGAGTAGACCGTATAAAACTCAAGTAGACCAGAAGTTTCAGAACCGATCAGGCGGCAGGAGTACTTCCTCAGGTAGTTGAAGCTCTTCAGCCATTCAGCAGCAGTCGCAGCTCTTATCGATAATGCTCCTGCATAATCACGCTAACCCAGTTCGGGTTCATCCCGCGCACTTCTGCCTGAGGCCACCAGGGCAGAAACCCGCCTTCGCTGACGTCGGTCTCTGACTCGGTTTTTCTGGTCCGTTGATGTTTGGTGCTGCATCCCGACTGTCACCAGTATTTTATCTTTGGATATTAAGAATCTCTGACTGCTCAGGTTACCGGTCAACTTGCGCGCACGGACTGTGAATCTTCTGGGCTTCCAAGTGCAGGATTGAACACGAATACTGCCTGCGAAAAAGACCCCGCATCGAAAGTTGGATTCCTCCGTGTCTAGCTGAACACCAGACCTCTTTCATTCTCTCCCATATCCTTGGTGATATCCTATCTGCGTAATATGCGCTTGGTCAAGAATAAGATTGAGCTCAATGGCTCTGGCACGGTGACCCTGTGCCCTGAGGAGCCGGAAGACATGGTACCTAACCCCCCCCCCTGGGGGCATATCCAGAAAGAAACAGTCGGAAAGAAAGAAATAAATAAAATATCAGGACCACTTACTAACGGCATGCAGTGGCACGCCTACAACCTCATCCGACCGGGCGACCTCCTCCGCGCCAGCGCCATCCGCCGCGTCACGACGACCCAAGAGACGGGCTCGACGAGCTCCGCGCGCGTGCACCTAACGCTCGAGATCCGCGTCAAGGGGCTGGACTTCGACCCACAGAGCTCACAGCTGCATGTGAGTGGACAGATCGTCAACGAGACGCAGCACACGAAGATTGGCCAGCACCACACGCTCGACCTCGAGTTGAATCGCAACTTCACGCTGGAGAAGGAGGTCGGGGCCGATGGCGAAGGCGTCGGTTGGGATAGTATCGCCGTGCAGATGCTCAAGGAGGCGGTGGATGAGGGCGGGAATCGGAGGGCCGAGGCCGTCGCGGTCGTTATGCAGGAGGGCGTCGCGCATATTTGCTTCATCGGGCAGTTTCAGACGGTGCTGAAGCAGAAGGTTGAGATGTCGGTGCCGAGGAAGAGATATGGAGGTGGTGATCATGACAAGGTTGGTTTTTTCCCTTTAATTCTGTTTGGAACTTCTTGGGTTCTTGATGTGGATGACGGACACTGACAAGAACTACCAGGGAATGTCGAAATTCTTCCAAGTAACGCTAGACACCCTCCTCCGACAAATGGAGTTCAACACCAGCGCCACATCACTCACCAGCAACGAGACCGTCCGGCCGATTCTGCTCGCATCGCCGGGTTTCGTAGCGTCGGGGTTCCAGAAGTACATCCAATCGATCGCAGGGACAACCACGCCGGCTCTGAAACGGCTCCTCCCTAGCGTGGTAGTCGTGCACTCGGCGTCGGGATACCTGCACTCGCTCTCGGAGGTGCTACAGTCCCCCGCCGTGAAGACCATCCTGGCGGATACAAAATACGCGCGGGAAACCAAGCTGATGGACGACTTTCTCGACCAGCTGCGCAAGGAAACGAACAAGGCGACATACGGACCGCGCGAGGTCGAGTCGGCGGTGGATCAGGGCGCCGTGGGCCGAGGCGGAGGCGTCTTGATCATTTCGAACCGGCTGTTTCGGTCCCAGGATGTCGCTGAGCGGAAAAGATGGGTGTCGTTGGTCGATCGAGTACGGGATGTCGAGGGGGGTGAGGTACGGGTTCTCAGCTCGGATCATGAGAGTGGTAGGAGGTTGGATGGGCTGGGAGGGATTGCGGCGCTGTGCACGTTCCCTGTCATGGATGAAGACATGGAGTCGGATTGAAGGGAGAATTGTGATGTGATGTGATGTTTACGATGACGAATATAATGATTAGAGTGGTCTATAAACGAATCTCTCACGTTGAAACACGGCATCGCCAGTTACGAAAAAATACCCTCCCTCCTCCATTTACTTCTCTATACAAGATCGAAAACAACAACAGAATATACTCAAGTTCAAAACTGGCGCCCGGGTCTTTTACTCTTTTCCTTTATTTGCGTCGCGTGCCAAGGATGCGCTAATACTGATAAGGAAAGGCCCGTAATAAAAAGTACTGCCCGTTAAATGGTACATACGGTACCGCACCGTATTGAAAAAAAAAAAAAAAAGAGATTGAGTGTATTAATCCTTGTACATCACATTACATTATCTCCAGTGGCTGTGGCCCTCTGATGGACGGCTATCCGCCACCGATTGAAGTGGCTAGAAACTTCTAGACCATGAGAATCAAAATATAAGGCTCAGCTATCCTGTCACGGGCTCGGCAGTGGGTAGGTGCGCTTCTACCCGCCAAGACCGTCTAGTAGGTCTGTAGGACGGTTACCGACTGAGCTACTAAAAAGACCAGAATACCAAGTCAACGACTTGGTACGCGCATCGCTCTATATAGTGGTTCTTGGTCAGTTCGTCACATATCCCAGGCCCTCTTTTTACATAGAGAACAGAAAAAATAAGGAGATAGGATCATGTGATTAACAGGATTCAATCGGATGGGGCACAAAAGCTGATGATAAGAACACGACCGTCCCTATACCCAAGCACCAGTGTATCATGTTTGATATCATGACAAATCGGTCCACGAAGTTCAGGAGAAAGCCATAATGACCGTTCACCTCTCAAACATACCCAAGAATCTTCAACTGATATCCGGGAGCCTTGTTCGTGCTCCATCTGGGTATTACCTGATGAGACATTTGAAATCGAAACGGAATGGCCTTCCAGGGTTCGCAGCTCCGAGCCGGTCTGGACATCCCAGAGCTTGATGGTCTTGTCGTCGGATCCAGACACGATCCTCTGGCCGTCCGGCAAGAAGGCCACTGACCAAACCGAATTAGAATGTCCCTCCAGGTTTCGCAGCTCCGAGCCGGTCTGGGCATCCCAGATCTTGATCGTCTTTTCACTAGATCCAGACACGATCCTCTGGCCGTCCGGCGAGAAGGCCACTGAGCTAACCCAAGCGGAATGGCCCTCCAGGGTTCGTAGCTCCGAGCCGGTCTGGGCATCCCAGAGCTTGATGGTCTTGTCACAGGATCCAGACACGATCCTCTGGCCGTCCAGCGAGAAGGCCACTGACCAAACCGAATCAGAATGGCCCTCCAGGGTTCGTAGCTCCGAGCCGATCTGGGCATCCCAAAGCTTAATGGTCTTGTCGTCGGATCCAGAGACGATCCTCTGGCCGTCCGGCGAGAAGGCCACTAAGCTAACCCAATCGGAATGGCCCTCCAGGGTTCGCAGCTCCGAGCCGGTCTGGGCATCCCAGAGCTTGATAGTCTTGTCGTCGGATCCAGACACGATCCTCTGGCCGTCCAGCGAGAAGGCCACTGACCTAACCGAATTAGAATGGCCCTCCAGGGTTTGCAACTGGGCGCTCCATGACTTTTGCACTTGCGGCAAGGCAGGCATCCAATTAGGTCGTTGATTGTTGAAGATTCTTCTAATAATACTGTCTGTAGGAGAGAACGCGAGTCCGGAGCAATATACTTGAAGTGGGGTATTGTCGATCATTTGGATGTAATTTAAGACAAATCGGTTAGCATCCTTTAGGAAGCCTTCTAATTCTGTACTCATATCATCCTGTAAGGATATTAGTAGCTATTGGGTAACAGTTTAGATAGCGACTTACTCTTAGCCTTGACTGTAGTGCATTAACTATACCAACAGTCTCTGAAGCAAGTCCCATTAAGCTCATAGCCTCCAACCAATGGAGGAAATGTTCTTTCAGAAATGAGAATACTTCGATCTTGGACGCATCAGATTTACTCTTGCTGAAGTGATTCGCCCAGTAGCGGCAAGAGTATTGCAGAACTTGTGAAATATACTGAGAAATCGCATGGCTGTCAACGTCTTCCCGCTGTATCCCATAGCTTGGTAATCGGCAGATATTGTGTGTTAACCCTACCCTGGGATTTTTCATGACGTACAGACAATTTTGTAGTAATTTTTCGTGGGTCTCTTTTTCATTGACACGCAAGCCTTCCTCCTTTGTATTGATGAGGAATTCGCGAAATGATAGATGCAGAATGCGGACTGGTGTACAAGAATCTCTTGGAATGTTAAGAACCGAATGAAATGCGTCTAATAGAGCTATAAGTGTTCTTTCTTCTATACCAATAAGCCCAGAAAGGCTATGAACTGACAGTGGGTCAGCAAGAAGAATAATGGCTCCAACTATCTTTTGGAACTCGTTCTTGAGGACTGGAGAACTTTTAACACGATGCTTTAATATTGGCAGGTATATCTTCTCCATTTGAGACGATGCTGTCATATCAGGGCTTTCGAGGATTATATCAAGTTGATGCTCCGGAACGTGATATTTCTCTTCGATGAAACGGCAAATTGTGGATGCGAAGATAAAAAGAGGGACTGCCATTTTGACCAATGTCTTCGTCCTCTCATTTCCAGGCCAATCTCCAGGGATTTTTCGCTTTTCCTTAATATGGGAAAGTCGATATTGGAAAAAGACGCGGATGTCATGTTCAATACTGGGCACTTCTTGGAGAACGATATCTTGATAATTCTGGTTTTGTTCGAAGCCATCGCGTATTGAAAGCTCAGGCCGGCTTGTCAGGAATATCCGCAGGCGAATGGACTTGGATTTCTGCAGCTGCGGTAAAAGTCTAAGTAAGATTTCAATGTCGTCGTCATCGCACTCGTCCAATGCGTCTATCACAATTACAGAAGTAGTTTCATACTGCTCTCTCTCGCTCAGTGGTTGAAGAAGGAGCTTCTCAAATTGCTGATCGAGAGCTTTTGTCGACAGATCTGCATCATCCCGAATTGCTCTTAATATGCCAGGGGCTAATTGCCGGTGACTAGCCATCAATTGCCTGGCTATTGTCGAGATAAATCTCCTTGCGTTACCACGGTCCGCTTCGCCTTTCTTGAAGAAAAAACTGGCTCCCAGTAACCCCTTATCTTTAAGTAACTCTGCGACCGTCCGGGAGATGGTAGACTTGCCAGTTCCTGCCATACCATTTAACCAAAATATGCATTTGTCGGATGTTTCGGCCCAGTCTATAATCTGGCAAAGAAGATCACGTCTGGTGCCCGGTAGGCATTTCTCTTCATGCTGATTCTCATATGAGTCGTATGATGCTCCTTTCGCGATAGGAAGACTAAACCTCTTGATAAGAGCTTGTAAATGTTCTGATACTTTCTCATCGATTCTAGCTAGCCGGGACTCTGCTTCTTTCCCATTTTGCAAAAGGGTATCTAATGCGTCAAAATGGACCCACTGGCATAGCTTCTGCCATTCTTCCTCAATAGACGATCGAAGTTCGGTAAGGCGTTGATCGGTTATCGGTATAACACTTATCAATACTCTTTTTCCGATGCTGGGTTGTTGGGTAGCCAAAAGCTCTGCAGCATATCGAAGAATAGCCATATAAACCCTGATTGTCGCACGGCCTATCTCAATCTTTTTCTTGGGGCTATTGCGGTAAAACCTCTGCTCAATATAGGCGCATCGAGTAATAGTGTCTGCAAGGTATTCTGAAGATTCAAATAAGGCGTCTCGTAAGTCAAGTCGATTTTGCGCTATCTATGATTGAGAATATCAGTCTCCCGCTCTGGAATGATAGTAACATGACTCACTGTTAATCCAAGGGAAACGACTGCCCACGCACTTGCTGCATAGTGGGTAGGATCAAAGGCTACTACAGCAGTAACAACATCTTTGAACGATAATGCAGCATTAAGAATTTTCTGTGATACCTTTCGAATATCTATGTTTTCTCCCGTTGACCGATGGATTTTAATGCCCCCTTGCTGGTATTTTTTGTATTGTTTCTCGGTTATTTGAATAACTTCATCAATAATGTGTCTGGCCTGGGAGACACTTTCCCCCTTTTCTGGTTCAGCACTGGTTTGTGTTAGAGACAGAATAACTTGCTCCTCTGGTTTCAGCTTATCATAGGCAAATTTCTATAGGTCTTCGGACAGGGAAGTGTCCTGAGTGCTGACTGCATCGGGCGGCGTGGCTGCGGCGATTGGGACTGGTACAGGGACCACAGACTGGTCGAGTTGACTCTCACTATGATACGGCTCGGACTTCTTGCGGTAAGAAATACTGAGATTCTTTTTCAACCAACTTTTCATCATGGGCAAATCCAAACAATCACAATGTACACAGAAAAACTTTCGTGGAAAATGACATGGGGAGAATAAATGAGGCGTGTTAGACTTTTACGAGAGTGCCTTCCCCCTGCTGTGTTGGCGCAGCTGAAAGGGTAGAGTCCCATTATTGACCAATAACAAGCTGCCATATGGCTGGGATAATTCCAAATTATGATAATTGTGCACCGGGAAGTTCCTGATTTCAGGAGGTCACAGTATCGATGTGGCTGATGATACAACCACGTAGAGTTATGTGACGGTATGCATTGATACGATACATGGGCCCGTGTTCTGAGCCTGTCCAAAAGAGGACTAGCGTCATCTTGGCAAAGGATTTGGAAAACAATTCATGAATCTAAGACCGGGCGCCGGTTCTGAACTCGAGTGTAGCAAAAAATCAAAAGAAAAAAGAAATCTGGTCCCAGAGAGGCTCGAACTCTCGACTTCGGAGTTATTAGCTCCGCACTCTAACCGACTGAGTTATGGGACCTTTAATTGATGATAGCGGGCAACAGGTATTGTCTGATAAACCAAACCCATCCTGTCCCACCAGCCGTCGGCCCGCCAAGTCGCCAACTCCGATCGACTCGCTAAAATTACATTTCCGCCCCCTGCAAACATCAACAACCTGCAAATCAAGCTCGGAGGAAACATGATAGCGCCGAGACTAGTCAAGGAGATCTCCGAGAAGGATTCTCGCTCTGACTCTACAGAACACATGGCCTCCACTGTAAGACGGGACGGTAGGACCTTCGGAGAACGGCGCTGCCGACGATGCAGGCGAGTCGAGTCTTCTGTATACTAGTACTCGGGGTCTCCGGTCCCCGTGGATAATGATGCATGATGATCATCTAGCGAGCGATCTAGCAGATAGCTTTGGGGTCATATCTAGGCATTCAATTGACATGATTCGATTAGCATACGTATCCTACACGGAGTAGGCCTGAGAGTGGGAACTGCTAGCGAAAAATAAAATAAAATAAAATGAAATAAATTCAAAATAAAAGGTGGAACGTGTCAAGCGCAATGGCATCACATCTCTACCGCATGGGGTACTCCGTCTTACAAATCTCAATTGAAGCGATTTTTTGAACCTTGCATGCATGGCCTTGAGCCCAGCCCGGCTCTTCGATTCGAGAATAACTAATGAACGAGCAAGAAATTAATGTCCGATCAAGGACGGGGAGATTACAATAAGTCAGTGTCCACTCTCCTACATATCGGCTCACCGTAGTTTACTTATTCCATGAGTAGCGAGTAAGTTGATGAATATTAATGGTCAGGCTGAGAGGCTGAGAGCACCTCCCAAACGACCTAACTACGTAGTAGTTACAGAATACAGAATACATAACTCCGCCGAACACCCAAGGAAACGGAGTAGGAGAACGGAGGACGGAGGACGGAGGAGATCCCCCGATCGTGCGGCATTCTGCTATGCTATCTTAATCCGCAAGCTGCATCTGCCTGCCGCCTACACTGCATAAGTCCACCTGTCAACTTCGCACTTCGAAATTAATCCAAGAAAAATCCCCCATCCTTACGTAAGAGGCTGATTCGCGGTCGATCTTTTACGGACATCCCGTCATACCTTAAACGGAATATGTAGATCATTTTCGGTTGGCGTGCAGCTGTCGTCTTGTCTAGGGCTCTCTGGACGCCGGGCTAGTTGGTAGCTCGGTTAATGCATGCGTACATCATCATCATCATCATCATCGTCTAGTCAAGACCGATAGCGGTTTTCGGTCGCTACGTGCTAACTGCTAAGATTAACTGGCTTAAGGCGAGGGCCAAGGCCACGGGGGAGGGCCGTTTAATCGTCGCATGCTGTCATCCAGTCTAGAGATATATATTGCCGCGGAGTCCGATGCGGTGGCTCGTTGAGTCCGTACTCCGTCTGTGCTCTGGCCTTGGGCATCATACTCAAATTTAAGTTTGTACTTGACGGGAGAAAACGTCAAGATATTTGAAATTCCAAGTCTACGGAAATAGCAACGCATACATACATACCGCCTCTTCGGGGACCGAACTCCAACAGTCGTAAGGTCAAAGGATGCAAAAACCCGACAGGATAACTAGTTACAACAACCTAATAACTAGTCCCCGAAGTTTAACCACTGAATCGGCCTCTCTAACTCCCTAGAGCCAGTAAAATCCTGTTGTGCTGATCAAAAATAATACATAAGTACTAAACAGGAACAAAGAGGCGAAGTTTAATTAAGTCCATCCATGGCTTGCTGCTTGTACTCCTTCGTGAATCCATCAGGACGTTGGTAAATCAGTAGCCCCGGTTCGGCAAATGAAGACCACGACCCTACCCGGACACCAGGCCTGTCTAGCCAATTTAGGGGGTAGTTTGGAGTTGCCAGAAGCCAAGAAAAGTCGAAAGTCGAAAGTCGAAACTAAGACTTCGATACCCAGACCACGGAGTCGACGTAAACTGGGCTCCGTAAAATCAGGTGTCTCAGGCTCTCTCAGCCTATCCTACCCGCGGCCACCACGGACGCGACTACCACTAGTATATCACTGTTACATGGTCAGGACTCGGTAGGGTCCATGACTCCATAGGTCCATCACCCGAATGCCTCCGAGATCGATTTCGATTTTCGGCCGGCTGCCGGCTGGTCGGCTGGCTACTGCGCCTTACTTCTAGTCAGTCCTAATCAAACTAAGTAATTACCGTATGGAGTACGGATAACAGGTAGCAAATAATACTGGATCTAACTGAAGCATCTATCAGCCTGGCCCGACCGGCCCCTCTCCCCCCTTCCCCTCAGTTCTAGTTCTTGGTCCCCGACGGTAAGTGAAATCCGCATGGGATGATCTCATCCGATTCGCATTCTGATCTGGATCAGGGTGGTGAGGGGGTGAGTGGTGAGTCGGGGACAGCGACGCGATGGGGCCGGCGGTAGAGTATGGCGTATGGCGTATGGCGTATGCACCAACTACTCCGTACTATGTCGTTCAGCGCGCTACGGGGAGGGTACTGTATGGATTGGAAAGCCCGCCTGGCTGTATGCATGCATGGACGGATATGCCGGAGGATTTTATGCAGCGGTTAGAGTTTCGCTGGACGGTAGGTTACTGTTAGACGGGTAGACAGGTCGGAATGTATATTTCAGCCGCAACGGCAGGGGTGCTTCGTTAGTTGCTAACTTTGTAGGGTAAGTAGTCTTTTGTCGGTTAGGACTTGGATAGCTGCTAGGAATGGGGTCGCGGATGCATGGCGCGACTAGACCGGGCCAGGTAGTAGGTAGGAGGGACTTGCAGACAATTTTTACAAGGTACTACTCGTGCGCATGTATGTGCACCGGAGTAGGTAGGGCAGGAAGGAAGCGAAAGCGATACGGTCGGCGATACCACGACATGTGCGTACATACCTACTTAGACCGTAGAAGTTGGTGGCTAGCACCTATCTATGTCGTGCGATCCGTCCTTCGTACTCTGTATGCAAGAATGAGACATATTGGACAACTCAACACCCATCTGGAGGCAGGTAGCCGTCAAACTCAAATAGATGTGAACCACGGTCGTCCAAAAAAAGAGTCAGGGAAAGTATAATGGTGGTTCGTCCAAATTCTGGTCTTGATTCAGGCCTGAGCTCAACTCAACCATCCCAGCGCAGCCCACCTGAGCAAGAAAATGTAAAAAGTCAAAAAGCAAAAAAAGCGACAGGGAAGGGATCGGAATCCTCTTTGTTTGTGGAGTGCGGCGGCTAAGTTCGTTTGGGGCTGATAGATTTAGCGCTGCGTCTATCCATGCCCGGCGTGGTTTAGGGCCGCTGGATCGAGAGGGGCGGGGAGAATGGGGGGCTTTATTTTTTATTAAATTGTTTCTTTCTTTTATTTCATTTTTGATTCACTTTAGTGTCTCGGTCATGTCCTGATGTCAAATGATGTTCTTTAATTTGATTCATTCTCTTCTCCTCCATTCCGGTCTAGTCCGCCTTCAGTAAGAGGACGGTGTATACGGTGTAGGGTGAAATGAATGGAGATTGGGGGCGCTTGGGTGATCATGAGCGAAACGACAAGAAAAAAGTGGGCGCGTACGTGTCTGCCTAGCTATGAATATAGGGCCGGTATATTATTAATTAATTGCATCGCATTTTTCTCATTGGCCAGCTTTTACTGGATTCCTTAGGCAATGCCACCGACCTAGTTTACTTTACTTCTCCGTACTCCGTGCGGTCCTTTGATCGACATCGGCCGATGACGATAGAGGTCAAGGTCATTTCAATCTGGATGTGCGGTCTTGAATTGATTGGTTGCTTATATGTCCAAAAGAAGCGAATGAAATCAAAGATAAATAGTAGTCTCAAGATAACGTGACCGGCTTGTCATGCATGCTCCGTGCAAAGGGTATATGTCTGTCCGTGACAATATAGGGAAAAAGGAAATACTAAAAAAAATAAAACAAAAAAAAGCCAATGCTAACCATGCGAATTCCATCCCAGCGCAGTAGACGTTATAACACCATCCCTAAGAGTAAAATATCAAGAATTGAAGTAGGGTAGAGAAGAGTAGGCTTCAGAGTCGGGTAGTGTCGAAAAGGATAAAACAGAAACAAAAGAAAACCGTAACAAAATAAAACTAAGGATTCGTAACGTTGGCTGTCGTTCCCCGAGAAGCTTTCAGCATCGCTCGCCTTCGTGCATGCTGTGGATCGGTCATTCGTGGTGGCGGCACATTCCCGCGATCTCGGTTCTGTGCGTCGAGGTAGCGTAGCTGGGCTTCACATTGTTGGGCGCTGTACGACTTGTTGGACCCAAATTCTCTCATCTAAAAAAAAAAGCCCGTCAGTTAATATTCTTTACATCTAGTTAGACGTATTGTTATCTCACCTTCTCAGCAATCAACTCGTACTTTTCATGCTCCCAGTACTCGCGAGCCTTTATGAGCAGTTGAATCTAAACCACTCGAACGGTTAGTCCGCCTGCCAGAGAAAGAAACCTTGTAGATGGGTGATACGGTACACGTACTCACATCATT